TCAATGTGTTTGCCATTTGGGACTGTAATGGAAGACGATGACTTAGTCAGGGAGTAGGAGTTTTTTCAATATGAAATTTAAAGATCACTGTCTCCAGTGTTGGGAACTGAGAGGGGCAAAAGCTTGGAACTTCCGCAGTATGTATGGGACGGGACTGGGACAGCTTTTATTTCTCAGCCTTGATGGTGTACCTTGGGTCATTCCTATAAGGCTGAGCTGTGTGTTAAATGTTGCTGAGAAACAGGGCAGCTAAGACTGCTTGCTGACTGCTCTTGGGGACCTGGGTTCTATCCCCAGCACCAGTTGGTGGCTCACAGCTGTCTGTAACTCCAGTTCCAGGGGTCCAGCTTGTCTTCTAACCTTCAAGGGTTCCTGCCTCTGTGTGATATGTACACTCACACACACACACACACACACAACATTAAATATTTTTTAAAGTGCTGAGAAGCAAGCTGACATGATGATATGCGCTTGTAATCCTAGCATTTTCCAGGGTCTTACTATGTGGCTGTGGCTGGCCTAGAAATAGCTAGAAGACCAGGATAGCCTCACTCACAGATCCATGTCTCTGCCTTCCAAGTCATGGGCCACCATGCCTGGTGTTTTCTTGCATTCTTATATTGTGATCCCATTATTTGTGTGACATCTGAAATCAGGGGTTAAGTTGTATATATTAAATATGGCAACATATACATACCTTTTAAAGCCAGGCATGGCGATGCGCATCTTTAGTACCAGCCAGCACTGGGAGGCAGAAGCAGATGGATCTCTTTGAATTCCAGGCCAGCCTGGTCTATATTGTGAGTTCCAGAAAGCCAGGACTACATAAAGAAACTCCATCCTAAAATGCTTGTGTGTATGTGGGTATTAAGTATGTACCTTTTAAGCTAGGAGTTGTAACTCATGCTTTTGATCCCAGTAGTTGGGAGGCAGAGGCCAGTGTGATTTACACAGAGAAACCCTGTTTTGAAAACCCATTTGAAAAAATTATATAAGCTGGGTGGTGGTGGCGGAGGTAGCGGCAGTACCTTTAATCCTAGCACAGAGGTTATTGAGGCAGATGGATCTCTGAGTTCAAAGCCACCCAGGTCTATAGAACTAGTTTCAGAACAGCTAGGGCTTTTACACAAACCCTGTCTCAAAAATAAACTAAAAAAAGGTGTGTGTGTGTGTGTGTGTGTGTGTGTATACATACATACATACATACATACATACATACATACATATGCAAACACAGGCTAACCATTATTTTTACTCATTGTCTAAGAAAAGTTAACATGGGCCTAGAGAGATGGCTCAGAGGTTAAGAGCGCTGACTGCTCTTTCAGAGGTCCTCAGTTCAACCCAGCAACCACATTGTGGCTCACAACCATCTATAATGCAATCTGGTGCCCTCTTCTGGCACAAAGACAAAGCACTGTATATGTATACATAATAAATAAATATTAAGAAAGAAAGAAAGAAAAGGGAAGAGAAAGAAGAAAGAAAAAAAAGCTAACATTGCTGGGCATTATTGACATGCCTTTAATCCCTTCGCTCTGGGAGTTTGAAACGGGAATTTCTGAATCCCAGGCCATGTGAAGCTAAATAGTGAAACCCTATTACAAACAAAACCCAATGTTTAGTACAAGAGCCTTTATATATATTTTTTCTTGTTTAACCCTCAAGTCTTAGAAATGCATAATAAAATTTTTCTAGATGACATAACTAAGGCTCAGCAAGTGCTTTGGATTCAAATCCATCTGAGATTTGAACCTACCTAACCACTGAGCCATCTTTCCAGCCTTGAACCTGCCTTCGTATGCTGCTCTAACCACACAGCACATAACTTGTGTCTAGGAATGATGTGAAATGGCTGTGGGTCCTGTGGCCCTCAGCTGGGGTGGTATAGAAACAGAGTCGGGTGCCAAATAGCTTGTATTCCTTCTACATATCGGATTTCTTTGGTCTGTCCACTTATTGCTAACAGCATGTAATTTGTAAAGTAGGATATGCTGTTTTCTCAGAGTAACAAAAGAATAAGGTCACTAGTTTCCTTGTAGATTCAACAACAAAAGCAAAGAAAAAATGAACTGTGACCCATTTTTGAGGGTATAATCCAGAAGACATAGGAAGAAAGATGTGTTACTGTTTCCTATGAGCCAGGCAATGAGTAACTGCCTATACTAGAGGAGAGGGTAGGTCAGGAGGAATTGGTTCTTCAGGCTTCTTCCCAGGCTCCAGAGTGAACCCCTTCATGTTCTTTGCTCTGGGTTAAGCTTCTGAAATAACCTAACCTAAAAACAAGGACTTAGTTTTAGTTTTTGTATTTTACTTGTAATTATTAATCTTATGATGCTTATTTTGGATCCTTGTTCTGAAAAATGGGCTTTTCCTATGATGGGGACGTCCTGGAAGACTGCAGTCTTTTTCTTTGCGAATTGGGTTTTCATGAATGCGGAACCGAGTGAAGTCTGCTGCTTAATTTACACTTGATCTTAGCCCAAAACTGAGAAGTGATCATTACTTGTGTGTGTGTGTGTGTTTATGTGTGTATACTGTTGACACATACACCTAATGGTATCTGATTTTCGTTATACAGCATATTCATAAACCATATTGCTTGCTTTGAAATGGGATCTTGCTGTGTAGTTCGGTCTGTCCTTGAACTTAGATCCTCTTGCTTAGCCTCTAGGATGTTGGCCAGTGATCATATGTTTCCATAACCAACTTATTCTTTTTTTCTTTTTTTTTTTTTTGGTTTTTCGAGACAGGGTTTCTCTGTATCGTTTTTTGTACCATGTCCTGGAACTCGCTCGGTAGACCCGGCTGGTCTCGAACTCACAGAGATCCGCCTGCCTCTGCCTCCCGAGTACTGGGATTAAAGGCGTGCGCCACCACCGCCTGGCCCAACTTATTCTTTTAAAGGTCTGCTTATTGCCTCAACGTAGGAACTTGATAAAGAAAGCTTTTTGACTGCTCGATGTGGTAGTAAAAGTTTCAGGACTACATAGACTTGTCTAGGAAAAAGGAAAAAAGCTTCCATTGCAAATTATTCTGCCCTTGAGAAGCTGTTAACATAATCCAAGAACTTTGGGGTGGGGGGTGGGACGGAGGTTCAAGACATGGTTTCTCTGTGTAACAGTCCTGGCTGTCCTGGAACTCACTCTGTAGACCAGGTTGGTCTCAATTACAGAGATCCGCCTGCCTTTGCCTCTTTGAGTGCTGAGATTAGAGGCATGGGCCACCAATGCCCGGCTCCTTTTGTTTAAAAACAGGATCTCACATATTGGGTTAATGTGCATCGCAAATATCTTATAGATCAGACTTTTTCAGTAATTCTTAATTCTGCTTTCATGCCTTCTGAAGTCTGTCACAATCAGTTAAGAGCTTTATTTTTTCACTATTCCTAGTAACATCATATTCAGTAGATATTGAGAAGGTTTTTAGCCATACTCCCCTCAATGAGCCAGTTCACTGTACAATTTCCCATGTGTATAATATATATATTTCAAATCATTATATTGAAGTATTTTATGTCTGGGGCTGTAAGTAGAAAATAATGGGGGATTGGAGAGATGGCTTAGCGGTTAAGAGCACTGACCGTTTTTCCAGAGATCTTGAGTTCAAGTCCCAGCAACCACATGGTGACTCAAACCACCTTGAATGAGATCTGGTGCCCTCTGCTGGCATGCAGGCAGAAGGCTGAATACATAAAAATAAAATTAAAAAAATTATTTATTAAAAAAAAAGAAAAGAATGGACACTACTGAGCCAGGTATGGAGGCAGACAACTGTTACCCTAGCACTTGGGAGCTTTGGGGAGATGGATTCAGAGTACAAGGCCAACTTGGACTGTGCAAACAGATTCTGTCAGAACAATAATGAAAAACGATATACATCAAGTATACATCTCCTGCTAACACCATGCATCCATGGCTTTCTTCCAAAAAGATGGCTTTGAAAACTTTTGTGGACCCTGGAACTATGACCTTGGGCTGACGTCCAGGGTGAAAACAGAAGGATAATGAATATCAAATGTGGGGCTGGGGAGATAATTCAGTGGTTATAGGCACTGGCTATTCTTCTAGAAAGAAGATGTGCGTTTGATTCTTAGCCAACTGTGTCTGTTAACTCTAGTCCCAGGGAATCGATCCCCTCTTCTGGCCTCTGTGGGCACTGCATATATGTGGTATGCAGACATACCTGCAGGTAAAAACATACATGTTTAAAAAATGAAGTCTTAAAATGAATAAAAGGCTGGAGATAATGGCTTAGAGGTTAAGAGCACTGGCTACTCTTCCAGAAGTCCTGAGTTCAATTCCCAGCAACCACATGTGGCTTACAACCCTCTGTAATGAGATCTGGTGCCCTCTTCTGGCACAGAGGCATAACAGTGTATACACAGTAAATACATCCAAAAACAAAACCCGGGCCTGATGGTGGTGGCGCTTACTCCTAATCCCAGCACATGTGAGGCCAGTCTTTGTGAGTTCAAAGCCGCCTGGTCTACAAAATGAATGCCAGGACTGTTACATAGAGAAACCTTGTCTCCAAAGAACACAAATCCTAACCCTAACGTTAAAATAGTGAGCTAATGTCTGAGAGGACTATACCCTGGGCCAGGATTTAAGAAGGTAGAACTTAACTAAGGGTAGACTTTTCCAGGTTTATTTTTTTTTTCCACACTCATTTTTCTCTACCACTGATAGTTAACTCTGTCTCTGTCTGCCTTTCTAACAACTTGCTTTTAGATAGTGTCTAAAAGCTTGGCCTTAACCCTGTGATCCTTTGTCCCAGTCTCCTGTGTGCTGGGTTTATAGGTGTGGTACCATACTTGACTTAAAGTTGGGTCTTTGCCCAGGTTAAGGGCATATTTTCTTCTCTTTTTCAACTTGTACCTTCTCACAGCACCCCTGCATTGAAGGGTAAGTAAAGGGATGTGGAGGGGCACTGCCTCTAGACAATGATGTAATCTTGCTTAACCATGAGTAAAGTTTTTCCTTTTCTGCCTCCTACAGAAATGGAGACGAACGACCATTTTAACTTTACTGGCCTTCCCCCTGCACCAGCTGCCTCAGGATTGAAACCCTCTCCTTCCTCAGGCGAGGGCCTCTACACTAACGGGTCTCCCATGAACTTCCCCCAGCAAGGGAAAAGTGAGTGTGGAGGCCATGAGACTTGGGGAGAGAATGGACATTGGTTTTTTTAGATCAGGTTAACAGGAGGAGATTGAGATTATTTTGGGCTAGCTACCCCGCAACAACTCTCTCATGGTAGGTGGTGACAGGAAATAAATCCATAGAACTAATTGCTAAAGAGAAATCAAACTTCTGAGAATAAGCTATAAGGACTTATAGAAGCTGGTTTTTGTTTTTTTGTTTGCTTGTTTGTTTGTCTTTAGACTGGAGAAGATTAGAAAAAACATATAAGCTTTTCCATCTTAGCCTGCTTTCTTGTCAGTCCTGTTCCCTGGCTACTGGCAGAAAAGAAGGTAGCTGCTGTTGCTAATATGAGGGTGGTGGGCCTGTGACAGGTAAAGCCCTCTGTGGAGCAGAACTAGGACTAGGGGTGGGGAAGGGTGTGAAGGCTGTGTAAGTGTGCTTTTAAATTGTGCAGTAGGGAGATGTGCTGGTGCCACCTCCTGTCCTTGCAAGAAGGTGGAGTGTGCACTGCTTCCCTTAGACACTGACAGTCCTCTGTGAAAGAAAGTGCTGCTGTTGAGACTATTGTCTTTTTCTTTTTCTCTTTTGGGGTAGTGGCCCAGGATGGCCTTGAACTGGTGGCAGTGCTCCTGCTTCAGTCTCTTATCTATTGCCTTTTTACATCTGCTTGGATTTCAAGTCACATGCTTTCTCCTTCCTTGCAGTAGAAAAATTCTGCAGTATATAGGGTACTTACAGATAATATAAGCCCATACTGTAGGATTCCCCCATACACAGATGCCTGCTTGAAGTTTCTTTAGTATTGTTATCTGTTACATACTCAGATTGTTATTTTTTCCGGGCATTTGTGGCACATGCCTTTAATCCCAGTACTCGGGAGGCAGAGGCAGGCAGATCTTTGTGAGTTCCAGGCCAGCCAGGTCTACAGAGCGAGTTCCAGGACAGCCTCCAAAGCCATAGAGAAAAACCAAAAGAAAAAGAGAGAGAGAGATTGCTATTTTCAGAGCTGGATTCTGCAGCACTGGTCATGCAAAGATTTTTTACCTATTCCATATTATTACCTTCCTGGGCCTATGGGGAGGGGCTAAACCAAGTCTTCTGAGCTGGAATTTTGTCACTGTGGTGACTGCAAATTCTATTCTTAGCCCAGCACAAAGTGCTGGATCTGCATGTGCCCATGAGGTGGAGGCTGTCCCTTCTGGTGCTACTGTGGGGCCAAATAGGCACTAGGGAAAGGGGGTGGGAACTGGAGAATTCTATCATGCCCCACAAGGAAAGAATTCCCATGAGGAATGAGGGTGTGAAAGAATGCAAGTCAGTGTAGGAAACCTGTGTGCAGCTTCAATATCTGCAGCTGCCGCTGGCTCCTGTGACACACCTAGGCTGCTCCCTAGCGCCTTACTCAGCTGTCTCAGCAGCAGTGCTAAGGTTTGGTGTCCCCTGGAGACCCAAAAGCTAAAGGTAACAGAGGAAGGAGTCCCTTCGCCTGCACTTTCACTGTAAATTGGGGTGTATTTGGTAGCATTATTGCATATATGTTCTCAGCTGACTCTTTTCTATTTTTCTGCCAGGTTTGAATGGGGATGTGAATGTTAATGGCTTATCTACTGTATCTCACACTACTACTTCAGGGATTTTGAACTCTGCTCCCCATTCCTCCAGCACCTCACACCTCCATCACCCTAATGTGGCCTACGACTGTCTCTGGAACTACTCACAGTACCCACCTGCCAACTCCGGCGGCAACCTCAAGGACCCACCCCTTCTTTCTCAGTTCCCTGGGGGACAGTACCCACTCAATGGTATCCTTGGGGGCAGCCGACAGCCTTCGTCCCCAAGTCACAACACTAATCTTCGAGCTGGGAGCCAAGAGTTCTGGGCCAACGGTACCCAGAGTCCCATGGGGCTTAACTTCGATTCACAGGAACTGTATGATTCCTTTCCTGACCAGAATTTTGAGGTGATGCCCAATGGACCCCCAAGTTTTTTCACCTCCCCACAGACATCTCCAATGTTGGGATCTAGTATCCAGACCTTTGCACCTTCCCAGGATGTGGGCAATGGGATCAATCCTGATGAGGCAACAGAGAAGGAGCTGCCTTCAGTTGTGGCAGAAAACGACACTGGCTTGGTAGGCAGCCTGGAGCTGGAGGAAGAGCAGCCAGGTATAACTGGGTCTGTGAGCTGGGTGTGGAGAGAGGAAGTGGGGTCACGGGGAACAGTGGCTTTTTGGGGTGAGGAAAACTTGTCTTTCCAGCTCTCAGCAGTGGAGACTGATTTGCATGTTGGTGATTAGCAGAGCCAAGTGGCTGGTGTTTTTGTGGCGGCAGCACCAGTTCAAGAGTGGGAGTGCAAATTACTTCAAGTTAATGCAGAGCTGCTGGCCAGGAGAGGGCAGGTGGGCGATGGGCAGGCCTGAAACAGCCCAGACAGATACTGCCTCAAAAATGGCTTCTTGGGCTGGGAATGTAGCTCAGTGGCTGGAGTGCTTGTGTAGCGTGCATGAATGGAGCCCCAGGTTCCACCTCCAGCACTGCATAAGTCGTGCATACTGGCACATGCTGGAGTGGAGACTGGAGGAGAAGGTGTTCAAGGTCAGCCTGAGACCCTTGGGTAGGGTAGGTAGGGTAGGGTAGGGGCTTCTAAAACAGATGAGAGGGTTAGGACATCAGCAGTGAGCACTGAAGCCATGAGGCTATTGTAACTGTGGGAGGATTAGGTCATGCTGAAGTGACTCAGCCCTGGTGACTGGCTATGAAGGCAAGGAGAAAAAGGCAGAGTGCACCATTGCTTGTCTTCTCGTCTTCCTTTATTCTTTTGTGGTTAGTTGTGTATATGACAACCTCTTTTGTTTCCCTAAAAGTAGATAGAACCTTAGTTTGTATTTGTAGTTGATGCAGGGCGACTACCACTCTGCCTGATGTAAGGTTGGGTTAGCAGCACATTTGTACTCATTTTAGATACCTGGATAGGATCTGTCCCTAGTTTAGAACTGACAATAAATGTTGATTGAATGAACATCTTAGTTTTAAAACAAGGTTAGAGTTTACTAAGAGAATTTAACATAGATTTTGAGTACTAATGTATCTGGGGGAAGGGGCACTTAGGAAAAGATTAATACACACCATGTACATGCGTGAACTTCTTGAAAAAAAGTTGCCTGAATATTTTTCCTTTAAGCATTGTTTTAATTAATTATTCTTTATGTGCATTGGTGTTTTTGTCTACATGCATGTCTGTGTGAGGGCATCAGATTCCCTGGAACTGGAGTTACAGACAGTTGTGGGTGCTAGGAATTGAACCTGGGTCCTTTGGAAGAGCAGCCGATGCTCTCAACCACTCAGCCACCTCTCCAGCCCCACCTGAGCACTTTTTTATAAACACCTAAATTGAAGGCATCAGTTTTGACTTTTGGTCTCTTCTGGGATTACCTAGAACTAAAGATGTGTGACTACAATGGTTCTGTCTCCTCTGTGGAGTCTTTACACCAAGAAGTCTCCGTCCTGGTCCCCGACCCCACAGTGAGCTGTTTAGATGATCCTTCACATCTTCCTGATCAACTGGAAGACACTCCAATCCTCACTGAAGATTCCCTTGAGCCCTTTGACTCCCTGGCACCAGGTGGGCTTAGGAGGGTAGCCAACCCATTACCTGAAAAAGTTAGAAAGTTTTAGGGGATCTGGGGTTGTTGGGCTTATAGGTAAACCTTTAGTAAACCATGGGCTGTACTGCGGCTCGGCCGGCTTTACTCGGCTGCATTGGTTCATTGCCCAGGCTCTTCCTGTCTTCCAGTTGGCCAAGAGCCTTTGGCTGCCGTAATTCACTGAATAGGCTGTGACTACCACACAGTTGGGCTGTTTGGGTTCTAACTAACTAGAAAGAAAACATTTGGCAATTAAATACAAAAACAAGGCATATTTTATGATAAATGCTGGGTTTCTACAAGGATCTATGGGTAGATAGATATACAATCTGTATCTTTGCCTTCATTTTCACAGTCTCCTGGCTTTGCTCTTTAAGAGGGCTGTATGTTCCCCTAGTAACGTTCTGCTTGTAATTTTTTTCACCCCTATAAACAGAGCCAGTGAGTGGAGGACTTTATGGTATAGATGACACAGAGCTGATGGGTGCAGAAGACAAGCTGCCTCTTGAGGACAGCCCTGTAATCTCTGCCCTCGATTGCCCTTCTCTCAATAATGCTACTGCCTTCAGTCTCTTGGCAGACGACAGTCAAACGTCAGCCTCTCTCTTTGTCAGCCCCACCTCTCCACCTGTCTTAGGGGAGTCTGTCTTGCAAGGTAAGTGAGGAGAGGTGGGACAAATGAAGTCCTCACTTGGAAAACAGTGCATGTGTTCCATTTCTATGCCCTTAACATGGGAAGTCTGTAATGGTGTCTTGCTGACAGACTATGAGATGGTGTTTAGTGGGAATAAAAAAAAGCATCGGTCGTTGTACTTAGACCTGTGCCCTCAGTGGAGAACTTGAAGGACTTGTGAATTGTCAAGGAAAAGAAGGCCAGAAATGTTTGGGGTAGGAAGAGAGCCAGCACTGCTTTTAAATTTAATTTTATGTGTATGAGTGTTCCTGTATGTATCTGTACTGTGTTTGTGGTGCCCTTGGAGGCCAGAAGAGGTGTCAGACCTCTTGGGACTGGAGTTACAGAAGGTAACCATGTGGGTACTAGATAGAAATCAAACAGTGGCTCTCTGGAAGGGAGCCAGTGAGCCATGCTATAAACCTTAAAGATAGCCATGTTTAACGTAGTGTAGATTTGATTGAATAAATTCTTTTACCTGATACCATTTTCTTTTACTTACATTATTTGGATTTTAGATAACAGCTTTGACCTGAATAATGGCAGTGACTCTGAACAGGAAGAAATGGAGCCTAAGTGTTCAGACTTCCCACGGTCCCAGACTGAGCCAGCCCCTGACCAACCGCCTACTATTGAGCTACATCCAGCAGCCTCCCCAGCAGCCTCTTTGACAGCTTCAGTGACTTCTCACGCCTGCCCTGCATCTTCACCAACAGCCACCTTCCAGACAGCCTCCCCAGCAAATGAAGATGTCAGCAGGGTTCCAGAAGCTTCTGCTGCTGGTTTGGGAGAGATCACTGGAGAACCTGTCACAGTTTCTGGTAGTGGTAAGTGTCCAGACTCTGTTCTGTCCCTGCCCAGTTTCTATAAAAGGTGTCACATACTGCATCTGTCCCTCTACTAACCTGTAATTTAATATTTTTTGTTTTTATTTTTTCAAGACAGGGTTTCTCTGTAACTTTTGGAGACTGTCCTAGAACTAGCTCTTGTAGACCAGGCTGGTCTCGAACTCACAGAGATGTGCCTACCTCTGCCTCCTAAGTACTAAGATTAAAGGCATGAGCCACCAACGCCTGACTTGTTTTTTTTGTTTTGTTTTGTTTTTTTTTTGGTTTTTCGAGGCAGGGTTTCTCTGTATTGTTTTGGAGGCTGTCCTGGAAAACTCGCTCGGTAGACCAGGCTGGTCTTGAACTCACAGAGATTCACCTGCCTCTGCCTCCCGAGTGCTGGGATTAAAGGCGTGCACCACTAACTCCTGGCTTGTAATTTTAATTTTAATTTAACAAATGTTTTATGTTTCTTGAGAGAATCTCACTATAAGCCTTGACTGGTCTTTATGTAGATGGGGTTGGGCTGTAGTTCACAGTGCTGTGCCACCAGCTCAGCTCTCCCCTCTGACCTTGCTGACGTCTTACTCTGATATCTCTGGTCTTATCTCAAGGTGATGTACTGAAGAGACGAATTGCTACCCCAGAAGAAGTTCGTCTTCCCCTCCAACATGGGTAAATGCTCTAGATTGCTGCATGCATCGACCTTAACAAGCCTAGGAATGACTCTTAAGTTGTGGGAATAGATTACAGGGCAGTGAGGAGGGCGTGGGATCCTTGGAGTTGGATTCGCAGGCTGCTGTGGGTGTTCGGGTTTCTGGCAGAGCAGTGGGTGTGCTTCACTGTGGGGCTGTCACCCTAGACCAATTTCTTCTTTTTTGGGAGGTTTTTTTTTCTTGAAACATGGTTTCTCTATTTAGCCCTGACTGTCCTGGAACTCCTCCTGTAGACCAGGCTGGCCTCAAACTCAACAGAGATTTACCTGCCTCTGTCTCCTGAGTGCTGGGACTAAAGGTGTGCTCCACCACTGCCTGGCTACATTTTCTCTTCCTTATGTATGGTCTGTCTTCCCTCATTTATTCTTTGCTTATCTGCTGGTCTTGATCAAGGATCCTTTTCCAAACTAAAGTTCAAGTATTCAGGGTAACTAGACAGAACTGTTTTTTAGAGCAGGATAGCAGTGAGGGAGAGGGGCTTCCTTTCCTACCTGTGAATTAGGTGGTTTTGTGGTACATGCTATCTGGAAAGCTAAGCTCTGGAACAGTAACTGCTTAATGACCAAACCAGGTATCATCGAAGACCTGGAAACAACTCTCTTCCTCATTTTCACCACAACCACTCAGGACTACAAGTTGTCACCAAGTCTACTGAAACACTGGAGATGTGGATAAGGCTGGCTGCCATAGTATATTTTTTGCCCAAAACATAGTTGCTAACTAAAACACAGCCTACTTAGTTTATTTCATGGAGTCAGCCTCCAGTCTACTCTGATACTTTCCTCTACACCTGAGCCAGGACTTTTAGGAGTTTGTAGTTGCTCATTTCAGTAGCTTCATAAAAATGAAGGGTGGAGATCTTGGCATGTTTGTCATTTGGTGTATCATTTCCTCCTGAAGTATTTACTTTAGCTCAGGCAGCGTGAGCCTGTTGTGAAGCTGCCGTGCTGTCTCTGTCTGTAGCATGATGTACGTGAAGGGCTAGTGAGACAGGTGCAGCTGACTCCAGGGTGGCATGGAAGTGGGCGGGGTGTGACCTGGCGGCAGGGCCCATGTGCTTCTCTGGCAGGTGGCGGAGAGAAGTGCGCATCAAGAAGGGCGGCCACCGATGGCAGGGGGAGACTTGGTATTATGGCCCCTGTGGGAAGAGAATGAAACAGTTTCCAGAAGTCATCAAGGTAACAGTGTTTGTAGCTTTTAAAGGACTTTTTCCAGCATTGTCTCTCTAGCATTTGACTTATTCTGTTTGTGTTATAGGTGGGCAAATACATGGTCGGGCTACGACTTTAGTAATGTCATTTTTTTCTCTCAGTACCTGAGCCGAAATGTGGTACACAGTGTCCGCCGTGAGCACTTCAGCTTCAGTCCCCGCATGCCTGTTGGAGATTTCTTTGAAGAAAGAGACACACCAGAGGTGCTGGCCCAAGGGTTAAATAGTTGGTGAACAAGTTATAGGTTCTTTTTGTGGAGTTTAGTGGCTCAAGGAGTCTGGGATAATTTGGAGAATTGAAGTGTCCTATACTGATTGTCTCCCTTATAACATGGTGTTCCTTGTTCCTTTAGGGCTTGCAGTGGGTCCAGTTATCTGCAGAGGAGATTCCTTCCAGAATTCAAGCAATTACTGGCAAACGAGGGAGACCTCGGAATAATGAGAAGGCCAAGAACAAGGAAGTCCCCAAAGTGAAGCGGGGCCGAGGTCGGCCACCTAAGATCAAAATACCTGAGCTATTGAATAAAACAGACAACCGACTTCCAAAGAAACTGGAGGCCCAAGGTACAGTGTTACTTTTAGCTCAGGGACTGTGCTCTCTCCACAGGGTATCTGAAATGTCGCTGAACTGTAGTTGGTACCTGGTTTCCTAGGAGGAACTGGCATCTGGAAAGATGAACCTCAGTCTGTTCTCCCCTTGGAAGGCATGCTCAGAGTCACAACCTTGTGCTGCGTTTTTTTCCAGGCATTTTTTCCTTTAAGTTGCTTTTACCAGTAAAGCCTTGAGCTGTCCCCAGATACAGTAATGCCAAAGGAGAAGAGGTCCATGCTTTTCCTTTCCATCTTCCAGCTACTTTGAGCTAATTGTGTTCATATAATTTCCATGGTTTTTGTTGTAGAGATTCCAGTTCACGTCTGAATCAAAAGATAATTTGCACACTATTTTAGTCAGATAGATAAATGGGAAAATGTCTGTGTTTTTGGGGGGTGGTGTGGAGTGAGGGATTGTTGTTTGTTGTTTGTTTAGAGACAGGGTTTCTCTATGTAGCCCTGGCTGTCCTGGAACTAACTCTGTAGACCAGGCTGTCCTGGAATTCAGAAATCCTCCTGCCTCTGACTCCCGAGCGTTGGGATTAAAGGCGTGCAACCACCACTGCCTGGCAAACATGTCTTACTTAGAAACTTTTCTAAGTAAGCATTATGTGTACTGTGCAGAATATGAAATAGTCTTGTTAATTCCATTCAGAGTTCCAGCACTGCTATCTGCATGTATCTTTTTTCCCACACGCTAGTGGCTAATACAGAGACTCTGCACTTGTCTACCAAGTACTTTACCACAGTTAAAACCCAAGTTTGGCCGGGCAGGGGTGGCGCACACCTTTAATCCCAGCACTCGGGAGGCAGAGGCAGGCGGGTCTCTGTGAGTTCGAGGCCCGGCTGGACTGACAGCCTCCAAAACAATACAGAGAAACCCTGTCTGGTTAAAAAAACAAAACAAACAAACAAACAAAAAAAAACCAAGTTTCACTTTTTCAGAAAGGTTTATTTTATGTGTGCAAGTGCTTCACACATAGGCACTACATGTGTGCTTGGGGCCTCTGAAGATCCTAAGAGGGTGTCAGATCCCTGACTGTCATGTGTGTGCTGGGAACCAAACTCAGGTCCTCTGCAATGGCAGTAAGAGCTCTTAACTGCTGAGCTGTCTTTCCAGCTCCATATCTCATTTTAATAAATCTTTAAGTGACTTATTTGCCCATAATACTTTAAAAGGTTGCCATGAAAGTGTGTGTGGTGATGTTTCTGTATCAGAAATGAAAGAATAGGTACTGTTGGGTCAGAATGTCAATTAGAAATGAGTTATTTGCAGATTTATACTTTGATTTGGATCTTTCAGTGGAGTGAGCTGCGGAAGCCGAGTGTAAGCACTGGCTGTGAGAGTTGAGTCATTATCCTTGTCTTTCTTGTGCATGCTAGGTTGCCAGTGTTACAAACCAATACTCTTTCCTGACAGTTTAGATTACTGTTTCCTTTCTCAGCTGTCTTTGCACTAAAATCAGGCCGTATGCATCAGTCTGAGCATTGCTGCCCTTGCTCCATAGCCAGGGGAAGAGACAGATCATAAAGGCACTCTGCCATTGTAGCCTCTTCCATCAGTTAGGACGAGTCTGTGGCTTCTGGGCTGCTGATACTGTTTGAGCACTTTGTGCAACACCTGAGCAGGTGCCTCTCTGACCCTGTCTCTTCAACGTTTTATAATGTCTACTCCGAGAATGAGCCAAAACCAAACCAGACTTGTCCGTGGAACTGCACAGGAAAGAAGCCAGCTTTGTAGTGGGCATGTGCGGCCATGGGTGCCAAGCATGTGCTCTGGGTGCCAAGCATGTGCTCTGCCTCACTTTCAATTTCCTTCCTGCCTCACAGAAACACCGGGTGAGGAAGATAAAGCAAAGATGAGTAAGAGCAAAAAGAAGATAAGGCAGAAGGGACAGCGGGGAGAGAGTCAGCCTCCTGTTCAAGGGCAGGTGAGCAGGGACAGCAGTGGGCAAGCTTTTCTACAGCATCCTCAGTAGAGCAGCACACTGGGATTTCCTGGGCTTGATTTAGAAAAGTGGGCAGGCCTGTTCAAGAGAAACAGGGTCTCCCAGGTGAGAGAATCAATCCATTGCCATCCTTCAGCATCCCACCTCCTACCTCCAGTCCCTCCCCATGCCGTCTCCTACCTCTCCAGTCCCTCCCCATGCCGTCTCCTACCTCTCCAGTCCCTCCCCATGCCGTCTCCTACCTCTCCAGTCCCTCCCCATCCCGTCTCTCACCTCTCCAGTCCCTCCCCATCCCGTCTCTCACCTCTCCTCACCAACAGCCTTTTCTGTTTTGAAGTTTCACCCAAGCAGAGATGTTTTCAGGGTTTGAGGAGAAATGACTTCCCTTGTGGTTACAGGCCAGAAACAAGAGAAGACAAGATGCCAAGAGCTTAAAACAGAAGGACACTAAGAAGAAACTCAAGGTATATATATATATGATCAACGTATTTCCCAAATTTAATTCCTTTTTTCCCAGGGTGCATTGTGCATGCTAGACAAGCATAGTACCTCAGAGCTAAATGTCCATCTCTCAAGTCTGATTTTGAAGCCACCACAGAGATTTTCCAAACACACATGTCAGTGTTATGTTTTGGGAGGGACTAAGATCAGGCATGGCTAGACAGGTATCTGTGACACTTGTACCTTTCTCTTGGGGGGTAGGCTGATAAAGAGAAGATGAAGACAAAGCAGGAAAAACTGAAGGAAAAAGTGAAGAGGGAGAAGAAAGAAAAGGCAAAAGTGAAAGTAAAGGAAGAGGTGGCCAAAGCCAAGCCAGCCTGTAAAACAGAAAAGACCCTCGCCACACAGCGGCGTCTGGAGGAGCAGCAGAGACAGCAACTTCTCTTAGAGGAGATGAAAAAGCCCACAGAGGATATGTGTCTGCCTGACCACCAGCCCATGCCTGACTATGCACGCATCCCTGGTTTGACATTGTCCAGTAAGACTTTCTCAGACTGCTTGACCATCGTGGAGTTTCTGCACAGTTTTGGCAAAGTACTAGGCTTTGACCTTACCAAAGATGTTCCTAGTCTGGGAGTCCTGCAGGAAGGACTCTTATGTCAAGGTGACAGCTTGGGCAAAGTGCAAGACCTGCTGGTTCGGCTCCTGAAGGCTGCACTCCATGATCCCGGTCTGCCTTCCTCCTGTCAGGTGAGCTTTCCTGGACCTGAGTTAGCTTTTGCTTTCTCTTGAGAGTATTTAAAAAGCCCCTCCCTGAAAAGAGCCCAGGGTGGTGGGGTATGGCCCTCTGCTTCTGGTCTGTCTGTGATGCCTCCTTGCACTGCTTCATCTGGTCTTTTTTTTTTTTTTTTTTTTTTTTTTGGTTTTACGAGACAGGGTTTCTCTGTATTGTTTTGGAGGCTGTCGGTCCAGCCAGGCCTCGAACTCACAGAGATCCGCCTGCCTCTGCCTCCCGAGTGCTGGGATTAAAGGCGTGCGCCACCAATGCCCGGCGCTTCATCTGTTCTTACTTCCTTCTTTTCCTAGTTGTAGACTTTCCCCTTAATTTTCAGTATTTTATGTGTGTGTTTTGCCTGCCAGTTTGTGTGCCTGGTGTCCACAAGGACCAGAAGTAGCTGTGATCTCCTATAATTGGAGTTACAGACAGGTGTGAGCCATCATGTGGGTGCTGGGAACTGAACCTGGTCCTTTGGAAAAGCAGCCAGTGTTCTTAATGGCTGGGCCATCTTTCCAGCCCCTTGTCCTGGCAATTTTCACCTTCTCCTTTTTCACAAAAATTTCTTTTAGCACCCTTTAGTCTTTGAGCCTGGGAGGTGGAGGCAGACAGCCCTCTTGGAGCTTGCTCTACATAGCAAGTTCCAGGGCAGCCAGAGCTTTTTTTTCTTCTTCTTCTTAAGATTCATTTATATCTTATGTGGATGAGTGTTTGCCTGCATGTATGTATGTGTCTGTGGTGCCCCCTGAGACCAGAAGATGGGGTTGGATTCCATGTAATGGGATTATGGATGTCTGTGAACTGCCTTATGGGTATTGAGAACCAAAACTGTGCCCTTTCAGGAGCCATAGCCATCTCTCCAGCTCTGAATTGTTTAAAGTTGCATTGATTTTCTGTGTGTGTGTGTGCATGTCTATGGTCAGTGTCTCCCTCCACCGTGTGGGTGCTGAGAGCCATCTCATTGACCTCGTTTTTGTAACCCTGTAGTTTTCTCCCAGGTTCACCCAACTGGAGTTGTCCCTACTCTCTTCTCATTCCTATTATGCTTCTTTCAAATAGTCCCTAAAGATCTTGGGGGAGAAGGTGTCGGAGACCCCACTGACCAGAGACAATGTGTCTGAGATACTCCGCTGCTTCCTCATGGCACACAGAGTGGAGCCAGCCTTATGTGACCGCCTGCGCACCCAGCCTTTTCAGGCCCAGCCACCCCAGCAAAAGGCAGCTGTGCTAGCCTTCCTTGTGCATGAGCTCAACGGCTCCACCACCATCATCAAGTAAGGGGCTGGGAGGTGGTTGGTTAATCCTGTGCTTTGTGTAGGAGTGCAGTGGGGGAGGGGCTGAGCATTCCAGAAGTCCCAGGGTCCTTTGCTCTTCTCTGAGGGTGCTGGAATGACTAGGATAGACCCTCAGCCCATTCCCTGGGAGAATGTAAGCCTTCCTTTGTCATTGGTCCTGTCTGTGTTTAGCCCTTTGTAATACTTTATCTTTCTTTTCTCCCTCAAAAATCATCCCCTGTTCCTCTACAGTGAGATTGACAAGACTCTGGAGAATATGTCTAACTACAGGAAAAACAAATGGATTGTTGAAGGTCGACTCCGAAGGTAGGAACAGGAGAAAGTAGAATTCAGAGAGTGAGTGAGGCATAGTGAGGCTTTTGCTGGGATGTGATACTCTTTTCTGGAACACATATACTCCAGGTGTTTCTTGGCATTATGATCTTGACCAAAATCTCCCCCAATCTCTGTATTTCAAGACTGAAAACTGCTCTGGCCAAGCGAACAGGGCGGCCCGAGGTTATGATGGAAGGGCCAGAAGAAGGCCTGGGGCGGAGGCGCAGTTCTCGGATCATGGAAGAAACCAGTGGCATAGAAGAGGAGGAAGAGGAGGAAGCTATAGTAGCTGTCCATGGTCGCAGGGCTCGAAGAGATGGAGAGGTAAGGACCCAGCGAAAGGAGGTGGGGCCTCTTTCTTGGATCAGTAACTCCCCTTCTCAGTGTCTTGTCTGTTTCTGCACAGGTTGATATTGCATCATCCAGCATTCCAGAGTTAGAACGCCAAATAGAAAAACTCAGTAAGGTATTGTGTTTTTAATCCCCCAGAAGTTGGAAATGTGGGTTGGGTGAGAACTGTTGTGTTCCCTTCTTTAGATTACACAGGGAAGCTGATACGCCTCAATTCTCTCCCTGTATTAAAATTTATACCATGCCTAAAATGTCTTTATTCACCTTCCTTTTTCAATTCCTACCCAGCGTCACCTCTTCTTTAGAAAAAAGCTTCTCCACTCATCCCAGATGCTTCGGGCGGTCTCTTTGGGTCAGGACCGCTATAGACGCCACTACTGGGTATTGCCGTGTCTGGCTGGTATCTTTGTGGAAGGATCAGAGGAGAGCATAGGTAGGTCTCTCTGAGTTCAAACAGAAGTAAACACTTTGTTTTCTTCTGCCCAATACTCTTGAGCTTTAATTTGGTATGATGGAGTTTAATAAGAGCTCAAGGCTCTAGAGTAAAACTGCTTGCCAGCTACATGCTTCAACTTGTTTGTCTGTAAACTATGGCCATATACTTCATAAATATACTTCATAAATATAATACTTCATAAATATACTTCATAAGAGAGCTGAGAATTGGAGCTGGAGACAGGGCACAGTGGTTAAGAGCATGCACTACTCAAGCCGGGCATTGGTGGCGCACGCCTTTAATCCCAGCACTCGGGAGGCAGAGGCAGGCGGATCTCTGAGTTTGAGGCCAGCCTGGTCTACACAGAGAAACCCTGTCTCAGGGGTGAAGTCGGGAGAGAGGGGATTAAAATGTGTTGATGTTCTCATTGGTGCTTAACAGAGTTGAGATGTAGCTGGGAGGCAGGATTAGCACTGTGTCCTGGGGTTGATCCCAAACACAAGAACAGGACTGAACCTAGCATGCTGATAAAGACTGACCCAGTGCTTGGGGGGCATTAGTCAAGAGCATCTAGAGTTCCAGACAAGACTGAACTATGCAGCAAAACCCTGTCTTAGAACTTAGGTGTTTAATCTATAGTTGCTTCTTAGTAAGTAGTTTAAGATTACGCTTTGGCTGGACATCCTTTAGAGCAAATTAGAGCAAAACATTCTTATACAGCTGTATGTCTTCAGTTCCTTGTTTCTCTCTACAGTTACTGGAGATGGAATGAAGCAGGAAGCTGAATGCTTTACGGAAACAGTCACTTCAACACCCTGCTCTGCTCTAGTCTCTGCAAAGAGAGAGTCAAATGGTTCCGACACCCCTGCTTCTCCTGCCCGCGCCCGAGGCCGGCCTCGAAAATTTAAGCCTGGGTCTATGCAGCCTAGGCACCCTAAGTCTGCTATTAGGGAACATGATTTAGAACAAGCCCAGACTGAAGTTCAGCCAGAATCTCAGTCCCATCTCCAGCTTCAGGCTTCTACCCGGCCCCATCTTCAGTCCCATCCCCCGTCAGATAATGGGTTCCTAGAGCCAGAAGGCTCCCCTCTGTCTCTGGGTCAGAGCCAGCATGACCTCAGCCAGTCCGCCTTCCTGTCTTGGCTGAGCCAGACTCAGAGCCACAACTCCCTGTTGAGCAGCTCAGTACTCACGCCTGATAGCAGTCCAGGGAAATTAGACTCTGCTCCATCCCAGTCCTTGGAGGAGCCAGAGCCTGATGAGGCAGAGTCCTGTCCTGATCCTCAAGGACCATGGTTTAACTTCTCAGCCCAGATACCCTGCGATGCTGCCCCTACACCACCTCCAGCCGTTTCTGAGGACCAGCCTACACCCTCCCTCCAGCTGCCTGCATCCTCTAAGCCAGTAAGTAGCCAAAGCAGTCTGCTTTATCTTGCCCCAGGCTCCCATGTCTGGCTGTGAGGCTGTAACCTGAAGTTAGGAAATGTGTAGACACAAAGTATCTTCATTCCTTCATGTCTCCTTATTTACAGATGAGTACACCCGGTGCTGCCAATCCCTGTTCTCCAGGACAGTTCTCTTCTACCCACCCACCTGGAGGGGGTGCTAAGAGGCCATCAGGAGACTCTGAAGAAATGCCACAGAGTCCCACAGGGCTGGGCCAACCAAAGCGGAGAGGAAGACCTAGCAAGCTCTTCAAGCAGGTGGAGCAGTGTTACTTAACCCAGCTGACAGCCCAGCCTGTCCCCCCTGGTGAGTGAGCTTGCCTGGGGTGGGGTGAGCATGGAGGTGATAGCAGTTTCCTTTGTGGCTCCCCGCCCATACACATACCCTCTGTACACAGAGATGTGCTCTGGCTGGTGGTGGATCCGAGATCCTGAGACATTGGATGTCATGCTCAAGGCACTACATCCCCGAGGCATTAGGGAGAAGGCGCTTCACAAACACCTTAGCAAGCACAAGGACTTCTTGCGGGAAGTTTGCTTACAGCCCATAACTGGTAAATAAAGAGTCCTTGGCCAGCCTGAGCTGGAGTAGCTGCAATGCACCAGGCCTGGTGGACTCTGCTCTGCTCTCTCTCTTTCCAGATCCCATCTTTGAGCCCCATCAACTGCCTGCTGTGGAGGAAGGAGTTACAAACTGGTGCCCCAAAGAGAAGACTTATGAGACAGACCTAGCTGTGCTTCAGTGGGTAGAGGAGCTGGAGCAGCGAGTTGTCCTGTCTGACCTGCAGATTCGGGTACACTGGGGTTAGCACTGAGTAGGGTATCTGTGCTTGCTTCTGTGTGCAGTGCCCTCAGACTAGAAGTGTCAGATCCTCTGGAACTGAGCATTACAGACAGTTATGAGCTCCATGTTATGGGTGCTGAATCCTGGTCCCCTGGAAGAGCAGCCAGCACTCTTACCACCTGTGCCCTCTCTGACATTAGGTTCTGGTTTTTGTTTTATTATGTATACAGTCTTCTGCCTGCATGCCAGCAGAGGGCACCAGATCTCATTCAAGGTGGTTGTGAGCCACCATCTGGTTGCTGGCAGTTGAACTGAGGACCTCTGGAAAGCAGTCATTGCTCTTAACCGCTGAGCCATTTCTCTAGGGGGAGGGTATCAGGAAAAGCCCTTGGTTTCTTCTTCCTAAGTGGCCCACCACGACGCAAAGTACTTCCCTTTACAATGTGTTTTATTCCTCTTTTCCACTGGCAGGGCTGGACATGCCCTAGCCCAGACTCTACCCGAGAAGACTTGGCCTACTGTGAGCATCTGCCTGACTCTCAGGAGGATATTCCTTGGAGAGGACGGGGCAGGGAAAGCGCAGTACCTCAGCGGCAAAACACCAACCCCCTGGACCTGGCTGTGATGCGGCTGGCTGCTCTGGAACAGAATGTGGAACGGCGTTACTTGCGGGAGCCCCTCTGGGCAGCCCATGAGGTGGTGGTGGAGAAGGCCCTGTTGAGTGCACCCAACGGAGCCCCTGATGGCACCACAACTGAGATGTGAGTGACTCCTGCACCTGTCTCTGGGCCTGGGCAGAGAAGACTAAAGCCTTCCTGTTGCTCATGCTAGATTTCCCTCCAGATCGTATGAGATTACCCCTCGTGTTCGCGTCTGGCGGCAGACACTTGAGAGGTGCCGTAGTGCAGCTCAGGTGTGCATGTGCGTGGGCCAGCTGGAAAGGTCCATCGCATGGGAGAAGTCTGTCAACAAAGTGGTAAGAAAATGCCTAGAAACAAACACTTAGGAGACACTTGGCATGGGAAGCATGGGGTCCGCCATAGGGAGAGGCCTAAGGACTCGGTCTCCCTCCTCACAACTTTGGTCTAGACCTGCCTCGTCTGCCGGAAGGGTGACAACGATGAGTTTCTCCTGCTTTGTGATGGGTGTGACCGTGGCTGCCACATTTACTGTCATCGACCCAAGATGGAGGCTGTCCCAGAAGGAGACTGGTTCTGTACTGTCTGTTTGGCCCAGGTAAGGTTTCTACTGTCTGAGTCAGAGATTTTATCCTTTTTTTTTTTTTTTTTTAAACCACCAGTCTCACAAACCTCAAACTCTCCCTGGGATGAGTCTTGACAGTGTTTGGGTTGAGTCCTCCTTTCTATAAAGCAGTAATAATTATCATTCCTTTTACTGCTAACCCCTCCCCTCCTATTGATTACCTGAATGAAGTCACATGCTGACCTGTGTAAACATTTGAAGTCATGGTTCCTCATGAGTCAAGCAGCACAGACCCACACTGCTGCTCTTACCTGTGCCTATCCTCAGCAGGTAGAGGAAGAGTTCTCACAGAGGCCTGGTTTTCCAAAACGAGGCCAGAAGCGCAAAAGCAGTTTTCCACTGAACTTCCCAGAGGGGGACAGTCGCCGACGGCGGGTGCTGTCAAGGAGCCGAGAAAGCCCAGCAGTATCTCAGTGCCGAGAAGATGGGCTGTCTCCCTCCAAGAGACGGCGATTTTCAATGAGAAGCCACCACAGTGATCTCACATTTTGCGAGTGAGTTAGTGAATTGTGGGACTGGCTGGCTGGCTCTGTGTGTGCCAGAAGGACTGGGAGTCAGCGTGTGCTTCCTGTACTAATAGGATCATCCTAATGGAGATGGAGTCCCATGATGCAGCCTGGCCTTTTTTGGAGCCTGTAAACCCTCGCCTGGTGAGTGGGTACCGGCGAGTCATCAAGAACCCTATGGATTTTTCCACCATGCGAGAACGGCTACTCCGGGGAGGGTAAGAAAATGTGAAGATGTTGCTCTTTCTGGTTTTCTCTCCTTTGCTCAGCTCTCAACAGCTCACAACCCCGTTCTCCCCTTGGCCCAGGTATACTAGCTCAGAGGAGTTTGCAGCTGATGCCCTTCTGGTTTTTGACAACTGCCAGACCTTCAACGAGGATGACTCTGAAGTGGGCAAGGCTGGGCACATCATGCGCCGCTTCTTTGAGAGTCGCTGGGAGGAATTTTATCAGGGAAAACAGGCCAATCTGTGAGGCGAGGAAGGTGGGGACCACCACCTTGTGGTGTCTTCTCCCTTCCTGACAGAACCTGCTGTGCTCACCTGCTGACGGCTGCCCTGGGTGGGCTCAGCTCAGACAGTGCTGATGTTGACCCTGCCCTTGGCAACACCCACATCCTCTTTCCCTAATCTCCTTCTCTTGCTTCTTCCTCTTGCTCCTCAAATAAGAGATGCAGAGATGAGGTCCTTCTGGACGGAAAGCCAAAAAAGAAAGAATTTTCCCTGTTTTTTCTTCCTAGTTAAAATGGAGAGGGGCAAAGAAGTCCCTTCTCTTCCCAACCCCCACCCCTCCCTGTGCACGCCCCAGTAACCTGGGGCTATTTAACAATAGCAATAGTTCTAGTGAATGTGTGAAACCGAGAAACACTCTGTACTGTGTGTGGACCCGCAGTGACGGCCAGTAAAGTGGACTTAACTCCCAAGTGTGTCGAGCCGGACACCGGGCCCTGAACATGCTGCTTCCATGTTCAGTCCTTCCCCGCTTCTCTTCCTTCTTCCCCCTTCTCCCTGTGTTTATGACTTTGTCCCACCCAATAATGTAAAACTATCGTGTACGGGTTCTTCTTCCCCTTCCCCTATGTGGAAAACAGTTCAGAGCTCCCTGTCTCTGTCCTCATCTCCTGCCAATAGTTACCCTCTAAAATGTTGGATCCTCCTCACGTGCTGAGTTTCTAGCCTTTTCTGAAACTCTGTGACTGGGGAGAGGGCAGGTGGGCAGGCAGGCGTCCTGAGCCTTCCAGCCTCCTTCCCAGCTTCCCAAACCTCCCTCTTGGGAACTCCTCAGGGACAACTACTGCTGAGTCTGAGTGCTGCTCCAAGATGGAGGCCCTCAGAGAGAGGGGGAGAAGTGTGTGTGTGTGTGTGTGTGTGTGTGTGTGTGTGTGTGTGTGTGTGTGTACACAAATGAGAGCTGTGATCGTGACCCTATTTTGTGTAATGGGATCCATTCATGTTTCCTCAAGTTTGTTTTTAGTCCCACCTTTCCCATTGTTTCATACCATCACTTTTTGTCTTTGGGAAAACACAGGAACTGTTTCTCTGGGGACTAGGCTGTCTCTCCTCATGCTCATTTCTGTTCCAGCCTCTTCAAACTGTGCAATCTTTTCAGCAGGAACTCTCTCTCCTCGCAGTAGCTTCAAATGTTGAGAATTTGCTGGGAGAGGGTAGAACTGGATCTTTTCCTAAACCATGAGTATCTGGGTTTAGTTGTTTTCCTTCCTTGCATCTACTTCATATCCCCAGCAGCGAGCTCCTGGAGCACAGGATGGGGAGAGAGGAGAGGGTCTGGTCTACCACTGCCCTGTGTGACTAAGCCCAGGTCAAGCCCCGCACATGAGAGGAGAGCTCTAACTCCGAGCTATGGCCATGGGCCTCTGCCCTGCTTCCCTGCTTCCCTGCTCAGCAGCCCTCCCATCAGAGATTACGGGTACTTGCACTGGGGAGGTAACTGCCAGCTGGCCTAAGCAGAGAGCAGAGGCGTCCAAGCAATGTTCCATTGGGGGGCAGAGGGTGCCCGGTGAGGGGGAGGCAGTGCAGGTTCCTGGGTAGCCCCTCACTCCTTCCCAGCCACCCTCACTCACTCCCTATCGCCTATTTCTAAAGTCGCCTTTTCTGTCGATAAACCTCAAAACTTAATTTTATTTGAGAATTTTTTTTGCTTTTAAATAAGAGGTGGATTGAAGAATATTTGAATTGACTTTATATTATGCATAAATATTTATATTTTATCTAAAATAACTGTGCCGTGACGAACTTTGTGTTAGTCAGATGTTTGGAACTGTTATAACTGGGGACAACTCTCCCCATGGCAAGTTTCCCTTGGCATAAAATGTACTGGAGTCATTCACTGTTGGAGCTGGGGGGCTCCTGTCTGCTCCTTCCCAGCTCCAGCTCTCCTAGGGACCAGGCACTCTTGAGGTGGGGGTGGAGTCCTAGACTTGATTTGAAGAAGGGGCTGAAGGGGCCATGGGTAGGGCATGATCAATGGGGCCATTTCTCACTCTTCTCTCCTCGTTTTCACTGCCCCTCAAGCTAGGTGGGTTTTCTCTTATGACAGAGTATTTGGTAGGGAAAGCAGGTTAAAACTAAAGACAGCCCACCCCTGCCCTTTGTGTCCCTCCACTATCTGGTAACAGCAAGAAACCATTAACACCAACAAGTTTCCATGTTCCTTTGCAGAGAAAGGGACAGACTTTTTATATAACCAAATGTGGTGTTTTAGTGACTTTTTGATAATGTACAGTTTTTTGTGAATTTAAATTTATTTCTTTCTATATTTTTAGGACCAATCTCATTTTTAATAAGGTTTAAAAAAAATGAAAAAAGTCTAGAGAAAAAAAAACCTTGTTTTTGCCATGTGATGTTCCACAGGTGCGGCTGTAGAGAAGTGCTTGTCATTGAATAAAACCACATTTGATAGAGACTCAAGAAGACTTGTGTGTTTTGAGTATGGGGTGGGTCTCACTCCCAGGCTGCCTTGTTTCCCCGCTGGTGTAGCGGGGCACTACACTCAGCACTCCTCCACAGCCACGGACAGGAAAGACAATAAAGACAGGCTTTTGTGTTTTATTTTTTAAAAAATTGAAGTTAGCAAAAGTAAAGCTTTTCCAAATCACAGGAGGAATGGGGACAAGAAGTCAGCTGAGGAGAGCAAGGAGAGGTGGTGTTGGCAGATACAGAATATAAAACTACACCTTTCTTGATGAAGGGAAAAAAGTCCAAAGTTGTTCTAAGTATAATTTAAACTTCCTCTCCAGGGTAGTAAGTGCATTTAATAGAGTCATTACCGGCCCCAGAGAAGCAGGAGCAGATAACATTCATTCCAGCCCTGTTAAATCACACACAACCCTCTCAGCTCTGTGGCAGCCTCCAGTCTGTTCTTACTCTGAGGTCTTAACCTCTGCTCCAAAGCCGGTGTCCCTGGGGTCACCACACAGCCTAGGCCCTGGCTTGTCAGACAGGAACCATTCTGGACAGCTCACACTGTTGTAACCAAAATCGCTAGAGAAGACAATCCAAAAAGGACAGTTTCCCTTCCAGAATGAAGAGTTTGCATTAGTTCCTAAGTCCAGGAAGACGAGGGCAGTGTGAAGGTATTAGACAGTAGGTGCTGGGCCCTTGCTGAATTGTGAGACTGAGGTAGTTGAGTAACAGGGACAAGGAAGTTGGGGTTTGCTTATTGAACAAGCAGACACCAGTCAGAACAGTGGTTACGAGAGCAATAGCTTTCTCCTCATTGCCACATGGAGACCACCTCCAGGGAGACACAGCAAAAAGCAAGACACAAATGCAAACTGGTTTAGCTGCTGAGGAGAATGTTGACTTCAGTCAAGACTCTCCTAGTGCTGAAAGGCATTTGAAGAGCAGCCTGCTCAAAAGCGGAGTGGTTGGTTCATGGAGTTGTGAAGAATCGTGTAACTAGGCACAGATTTGACTCTGAATTCAGGTCTAGAAAAGGCTGTCTCAGTTTGGACCTGACTACCTTCCTACTCGACTGTATTGCTCTTGGTGAAGACGGCAAAAAACAACCTTCAGTGAGCACAATTCTGACTTCCCCACATTGTCCTAATTAATATCAGCACCTTCCTCCAAAAAGGTCAGTCTATCTGCAGCCTGAAAGGGATGCTAGTAACACTGAGATGGATTGGGCTTGGAGCCTGGTAAAGGATGACACCACCTTAGGAGTGAACTCCAGTATGTTCTAATTGGAAACAAAATGTTGTGAGCATCTGAAATGAGTGTAGGCAAGATAAAAAGAGAAAGGGCTGGCTTGGCAGTGTGGCGGAGAGCTGCTTCCTGTGGGTCCATGCCGTTCGGCGGACCATCCCTCTGCAGCCTGCATCCTTACTTCCTGTTTCCACTGAGTAATGAGCCAGCAAGAGAGGATGGAAATCAAACAGAATCACATAGTGCTGTTAACCACTATAAAAAAAATGCAGGTCACCCTCATTTCCCATGTTCACACCTGTTCAACCAGATACACTGGAATCTAACTCACAGAGGAAAACCTCAAAAGGAAACTTGAAATTTTAAAGCCATAAGACATTGGAATTGCTTTAGAACTACAGAAAAAGAAGCAACTTTTAGGAGGTAGTGGAGGGGCCGCAGTGACAACAGGACTGACAAAGCCGCCTCTTCAGGGAGACTTGGAAGACAAGTGCAGGCTTGAGGCCTTTTTTATGACTGACTTTCCTAAGGTTGGACACACAGATGAAAAAATCTGGTAATTTTGCTATCATATGCTGTATGTTTGCCACTGCCATGATTCCCAGAATGCACAGGCCAATTGGGCCAGGATTCCTAATTCTGCAATATACATAGTTGCTGAGTCAGCCTCTCACCACTATGCTCAACCCTTCCTCTCCCATACAGGCCTGGGACACATTTCCCCAACTCCATTCCTTTGACTGTGTAGTGGAGATGAGCCTGGCTTTGACATGAAGAGGACATGTCTCATGTGGAGAAGGTCTTACAGAAGGGGACAGTTGAAGAGTCCCACTTGACATAAGTAATGGGCTGATGCATTACCTTTTTCTGTCCTAGCATCCTATTGTCCTTCCACAAGGACAGTCATCCTGGTGTTCTGGTTCCCTGAGAAGGGGTCCAAATGCACCAGGGCTGGGCAGGGTCCTGCAGAGGGCTTGGTCCTTCCTCAGGCATGCACAGCACAGTGAACAGTTCTCACTTGCATCCCTTCAAACTGCATTTGGCATACACATACAACCATGAGTGAGCTCCAAGATGCTCACGCTGAATTCTTAGGTGATTCAGCAAAGTCACAGCTCTGAAGATTCTTGAGTACAGCCATGTGCAGCTGGATGAGGGGCTGAGATCCCAGGCAGGGATAGTCCTCTCCAGGAAGCAGAATAGACCAAACTGTGGTCCGGTACATGAACACCGAGGCTCTGTCCAGGGCTGAGCTGGGGATTCAGCCTACTCCAGAAGGCAGGGAAATACTGTAACTGAACTAGATAACTCTTTGCCAGGGAGTAAGGGATGGAGTTGGTGAGGTGGAGTTCTGTGCTGTCAGATGTTCCGATCTGCAACAACTAGGTGCCAGGCATACATGACCACTCCCCAAGCATGGCAATCAAAGATGAGAGACATGCCAACAGCCTCTTGGGGACAAAATTACCTGCAGTTAAAGTGAAAGGCAGAACTTGTGCAGCAGGAAAAGAGTCTTAACATAGGATGAGCAAGGTCACAAGCTGGGTGGGGCTATGAGACCTGGGGTAGAATGAAGATCCTCCAGGAGGCAGGACAGGTCCCAAACACTGGAGCTGGGTGACACTTGTCAGTGCTAAGAGCCAGTCAGGCGGGTGACGATGTCACAGGTCTGCTTCCCGAAGTCTCTGGGAGGCAGAGTACCTCCACTGCCAGCATGTCTGCCTGCACTGCTCTCCCCCCACTGCCGTATGAAATGTACGTCAGATTTGTAAAATTCAAAAACTGTAAAAGGGCAAAGTAGGCAAGGCTCAGCTAAGTGGAAAAGAAAAAGAACAATCTGGACAAGAAGTAAAAGAAAAAACAGCCAAGCATAGTGGTGCACTCAGGAGACAGAATGGGTAGGATCCCTGTGAGCTCAAGGCCTGCTCTACAGAGTGAGTTTCTGGCCGTCCAGGGCTACACTGAGACCCCACCGTAAAAGGTGGTGGGTTGGGGGGTCCAATGCCACGGTGAACTGAGAGCTTTGCAAAACAAGAAATTTTAAGTCTGCGTATTTAAAACGTATCAAAAATAGTCCATAACTCAACTTGGCAAGCAGGGCTCCTTCATCGATTTTCAGCACTTTTTTTTATAAAAGAAATAAACCATTTTAAAAGCCTTCCTAAGTATTTCCAACATATCCAAATGTTTTTGTGAAGATGAGAAGCAGCTTGACCGGTGTGTTTTTTATCTTGAATGTAGCACATACAAAATGCAACATGGTTCCCCATGCTCCATCAATGAGAAAAGGCAGGCAGACGCAGACTTTTCTTCTCAAGCCAGGCCTATGAGGAAACGATGCCCACATTAGTGCTCAACATGGCCGACAGATCTGGAACCTGTCGAACCTTCTGGAGTCTGGGAGCATCTCCAAAAAAGGCACACAGTTCTTACCTCGTTACTTGCTGAACTGGAAAGGGTAGACCCCATGGTCTGAGGGTGTCTCCACTGCCACTTGGTTCTGCTGGCCACTGCTCTCCTGCAGCACAGCCAAGGGAAGTCACTGATGCACCCTGTGCTCACCTCCCGCTAGAAGCCTCACCAAAGCAGCCCCCAGGCTGGCTGAGAGGCCCCCCCAGCTCACCCCGCTCCCCAAAGCAAGTGCGTTGGAACCATCCAAGCTGGGAAGAGGGAAGCGGCCCAGCTGCTTTGGGAGACAGTTAAGCAATCGCTCATTTCCAGAGCATTTAAGCAACTGAGGTTGCAGTCCAGTCTACACTGAGCTGAGCAGGCTGTCTGTGAACACCAGTGAAGTCTCTCCGCCCGACACTCCTCACACCCACTAGTGAGGAGCAGATTCAACAGAGCTGCGAGAGAAAGTGCTTGCTTAGGACAGAAACCTGCCTTTTCCTTTGTCCTAGCCTCACTGCAAAGAAAGAATGCTCCTACCTCGACAGAAACGTTGGAAGAAGGCACAGGAGGGTACTGGGGGATGTAAGCTCCTTGCATTGCAGCAGCCGTTGGCATGAACTGGAATGAAAAGGAACAATGGATCCCAGGCAGTTTAAAGCTGTGAAAAGCACTGAGACACCTGTATTGGTGAGGGTGCTTCTTAAAATGTTGCTGGCAGTGTTCAGGTGCACCGGCCTCGACGCACGTCTGCTTGGCTTGCCTCCTCTCAGCACTGCCTTGCCAGTGTCTCACCGCACCCTCGCTTCCACACCTGCAAGCTATCCCTCACAAGTCAGGCCTAAAAGAAACCGAAAGCGGCTTCATCCCCTCCGTTTAGTACTCTGATGAATTGTGGGAACTATGCGCTGATTCCTGAGCGGATACCCTTACACTTAGAACTTACTTAGTCTGGTGACGGAGAGGCACCTAGAGGGAGGAGGAGGGCAGAATGGCTATATTCCCAGTTTACAGGTTTCCTTTGTCCTCCTCCCTCAGTAGAGATTAGAGGTGTTTATTATCCCAGGTCTGAATGTACTTTCACTGACCTGAAAACACACTTCCAACCGTCCTATCTACTAGTGATAAGGAGTATTTCACAGGCAGCCTTACTCTGTAGGGGTTGATACTTAAAGACAATCCTTTACCGTGCCCAAGCTATTGAGTGACAGGTGACCCAATTGCTGGGTAAGGGGTCCCATCATGGAGGCAGGTTGGAGAGAAAGAGGATGGTCCATCCCTGGTGTAAGAACCGAGCCCTAGAGGAAGCAATGAAGGAAATGGTTAGGCAGCCAGCCGCTCCTGCAGGATTGACGGCAAGCAGGGCCACCAACTTTTTTTTAAACAGGGTCTCTCACTATGTAGCCCTGGCTGTCCATGAACTCTCTATGTAGACCAGGCTGGCCTCAAACTCAGAGATCTGCTTGTCTCTGCCTCCCAAGTGCTGGAATTAAAGGCATGTATCACTACACCCAGATTTTTATTTATTTTTTAAGAATAGTTTATTAACTGCTCTGTAAGCAGGAAGCAGACTGCACAGGAACTAGAGTACCGTCTACTGATGTTTTCAAGTCTTGGGAATTAACGAGAGCAGCAGCCCAGCTCTGTGACAGGAACAGCACCCTGACCTTCAGTCTGCAGAGACCTAAGAACTCATGGAGTTAGGTTTATTGTTGGGTTGTACAGTGCACACTAAGGCAAAACTCACACCCACAGATCCTGTCATCACAGCCCTTGGCTTTTCTTTACATCAAATTGTCTCTTTTGCTTCTGCCCACTTCTGAACACTCACTGAAGGCTGCATGAGGTACGACTGGTGTTGCATCCAGGGCGGGTTAGGTACTTGTAGAGACGGCTGAGTCACTCTCTGATACAAGCAAAAACAAAAAAGTTATCCTTCTAGGCTCAGTGACTGAGAATGCTGAGCAAAGCCCCCCACAAACTCTGTGTGTGTGTGTGTGTGTGTGTGTGTGTGTGTGTGTGTGTGTGTGTGTGTGTGTATGTAATGGTCTGCCTACAGGCCAGAAGAGGGCACCAGATCTCATTACAGATGGTTGTGAGCCACCATGTGGTTGCTGGAAATTGAACCCTGATCCTCTGGGAGAGCAATTGGTGCTCTTAACCGCTGAGCCATCTCTCCAGCCCCCGATGTTATGCTCTTACAGTGTGTGTGTGTACACGATACGAAAAAACTTTATATTCCTTCACTTAAAACACGCAGCAGGGAGAATACTCATGCCTTACCTGATAGGAAGACACAGGAGATGGGAGATACGGGGAGAGGGCAGACTGAGCAAGCACCCTGCTGTGGGCGATGCTGTAAGGGCCTGGGTAGAACCTGCCAGAAAGGGCTTTGTTCAGTGAGAAACCTCAGCCAACAGAGGCACCTCCACCAACTGCTATGCCGGAATCAAAATGAAATAACCAAGTGCCTGGACACAAGCCATTGACATTTTCATAGATGATTAATTATATGAAACACCCTTACCCATTCTGAAGAGCTGTGGTGGGGTCATAGGTCAGGGCCATACGACCCTATAAGAAAGAATACAGAGTTTTTACTTTAATATTTATTATTATGTATACAGTGCTATCCCTGCAGGCCAGGAGAGGGCACCAGATCTCATTACAGATGGTTGTGAGCCACCATGTGGTTGCTGGGAACTGAACTCAGGACCTCTGGAAGAGCAGCCAGTGCTCTTAACCTCTGAGCCATCTCTCCCATATCAGATTACTTATTTTGAACCCAGAGTACACACAAGACTCACGATGGGGTTTTTGGAACTGTCCAGGTTGCAAATCTGACTGTAGGTCAAGGAAACGCCCAGCAGGGACAGTCCCGCAAACTGCTCAAGCTTGCCCCCAAGCGCTCAGAAACCAAGGCCGTTTCCACCCACTTCAATGCCTTCCTCAGAGATCTGTTTACCGTGTCTCCATTCCTGGACCAGGCCCTTCCATTTGGCACAAGTTTTCCTTGGTTCTGCCGTTTCTTTGGTCCGCCGTCAGCAAATTTACAAAGCAAGGGGTCCGATGGTGCTGGAAAGAGACAAGAGCAGAAGGGCTGGACCATCACCTTGGTGCTCATCCCTCGGGGGCTCCCAGCCTGAGCCCAGAGGCCTCACCTGCTACTCCAGGGGGTGTCTTAATATACTTTCCATTAAAGTGGGTGATGACCGCTTCACACTTCTCTGTGGACTCCATCCTAAGAAGCATACGAGGAGTAAGGCTCTCACCTGTCCAGGAGATGCCTTCTATACACGTGATGAGAAACACCCAGGTCCCTAGCCCCATGCATGCTCAAGAAGTTATAGGTGGCCGAGCTGTGATGGCGCACGCCTTTAATCCCAGTGCTTGAGAAGCAGAGGCAGGTGGATCTCTGCAAGTTCAAGGCCAGCCTGGGTCTGCTTATCAGGTTCCGTGAGGCGGCTCAGTGGGTGAAAGCACTCATTGCTCCTGCAGAGGACCCAGGTTCTGTTCCAAACAAGCACGCGGTGGCTCACAGCAATGTGTAACTCCAGTCACAGGGGCCTGATGCCCAATTCTGACCCCTGAAGACAACAGGATCGCATTTGGTGCACACATGCACACGTGCAGGCCAAAGACTCACACTCGTCAAAACGAGTGCAAGAAAAGAATGTGTGTGTACAAGCTATGGCTTTGTTGGTATTTGTTTTCATTTCTGGCAATAATTATCGAGGCCCAATTATCTATGACATATTGTTATGATTGGTAGTGAAGATCTTATGAGGACAGCAAGATGGCTGTGGGGGGGGCACAGGTACTATAGCCAAGCTGGATGACCTGAGGGACCTCAGAACCACACAGTGAAAGAAGAGAATTGACCCCTGTGAGCTGCCGTCTGACCCCCACATAAGTGCAGTTCCCCCCAACTACTGTCAAGTTAGTCCTTTTTAAAGGGGGTGAGGGCTCATGCCCCACAGTGATAGACAAGTAGGCAAGTGTTAGGAACTGCTCCGTGACAGCGCTCTGGAGGAAAGAGGATGTGGTGCCGGTGGCTACTCACCATCCTTAGCTCTGAAAGGTACAACAGATCTTACTCCACCCTCATCTGTGCACCACGCACAATCCCTACAGGCCAGATCACTTCACGGTTCTTGTTTGTTCTGATTTTCTGAAATGGGATCTTGTTTTATGGCCCATGTTAGCTCTGAACTGTCTCAGTCTTCACATGCTGGGATTTCAGTAGTCTACACTCGGGCTGGCAAGAAGCTCAACAGGTCAAGGAGCTCATCAAATGTCAATCAGCTTTGACATCTGATGATGATGAGTTTGGTCCCTGGGACCCACTTGGCATCAAAGATGAAAAGGGATTCCTAAAAGTTGTCCTTTGACCTATATACTCCTGCCACAGAACAACTACACACATATACATACACACAAACTCATGAAATAATAAAATGTAATAAAAATATAAATGAATAGTCGGGCGGTGGTGGCACACGCCTTTAATCCCAGCACTTGGGAGGCAGAGGCAGGCGGATCTCTGTGAGTTCGAGGCCGGGCTGGACCAATAGCCTCCAAAACAATACAGAGAAACCCTGTCTCGTAAAAACCAAAAAAAAAAAAAATATATATATATATATATAAATGAATAAAAAAACACTGATGTGGTAGAATATTATTTTAAGGTGTGTTTAACTCTGTGAAGCAGTGTTGCTGTGCCTGTCTAAAACACCTGATGTTCTAACAAAGAGCTGAAGGCCAATAGCGAGGCAGGAGCAAAGACGTGTGGGGCTGGCAGCAGAGAGGATAAACAGAAGGAGCAACGAGGAAAAAGGAGCGAGAACAAGGAGAGGAGGACATGAGGGGCCAGACACCCAGCCACCCAGACACCAATGGAGTAAGAGTAAAGAAGATAAAAGCTCAGAGGGAAAAGGTAGATGGGATAATTTAAGAAAAGCTGGGAGCCAGGCCGTGGTGACGCACGCCTTTAATCCCAGCACTAGGGAGGCAGAGGCAGGTGGATCTCTGTGAGTTCCAGGCCAGCCTGGTCTACAGAGCGAGTTTTCCAGGACAGCCTCCAAAACAATACAGAGAAACCTGTCTCAAAAAACCAAAAAAAAAAAAAAAATCTGGCAAGAAACAAGCCAAGCTAAGGCCAGGCATTCAAAAGTAACAAGACTCCATCTATGATCATGTATGATTTATTGGGGAGCTGGGCGGTGGGCCCCTCAAAAGGTAAAAAAGCAAAACAACACTACACAGTGATACTTCTTTAATTGCAGCTGCTGGTGACTTGGGATTAAAACTCTACCTCAACTATAGAGTAAGCCCAAGGCCAGTTTGGTCAGTTTAGTGAGACCCTAGAGTCACATGGGAAGTCTCAGTGTCTCTGGGGCACTGTCTTCAATGAATTCACATGGGTGGCACCATTCCCTAGGCAGGGGACCCTAAACTGTGTAACCAGGCAGGTGAGAGCATGTATGGATCCATTCTGTTGTGGGTTTGGGTTTTGGTTGACAGGTCTCGCTATGTAGTAAGTCTTTTTGGCCTGGAACTTATTATATAGACCAGGCTGGCCTTAAACTCCACCTACTTCTGCCTCTTGAGTGCTGGGCTTACAGCATCACCATACCCAGCTGCTCTCTTGTCTTGACTGGACTAGTCGAGCCTCCACCGACTCTCCTGGGATGTACCATAACCAAGAACCATGAGTTGAAATAAACCTCTCTCCTGAGTTGTCTTTCATTGGGGTATTTTATTACAACAAGGGAAACAAAACTAGGACATCCTGTCACAAAATAAACAGTAAACAGGATGGGAATGTGGTTCAGTGGCAGACTACATGCCTAGCATGATTGAAGTCTTGAGTTTTAAGCCTGTTCTGCAAAGAAAACACACTGGCGGAGGGATGAGGAGCTAGCCCACTCGGTAAGGTGCTCCCCGAGCGAGTCCCAGCACTCACAGGTGTGGGTGTGACAATGACATCCACACCCGTGTGCAAGCGTACCTCACACTAACCCCTCACCCAAAGAAAAACCACCCCAAACTGTTCGACCACTTAGTTACTTAACTTGTTGGAGATTTCCTTTGGTGCGGAGTGGATAGCACTAAGCTAAGGGTACCATGAACTGAGAACATCTGCCCGTAAGTGAAGAGTGAGCTCGGCATAGTGGCCAAGTCTATAGTTCCAGTGTTCAGGAGGCTGAGGCAAGAGGACCTCATGCAAGTTCAGGGCCAGATGGGACTCCACATAAAGATCATCAGGTCTCAAATAAAAAAAAATCAAATAAAAATTTAAAAATAAAGGAAAGCCTGTGTCAAAAAGCGATGAACACAAACCCAGTGAATTTTCCTCTTGTCACGCCTCGGACTTCTGCAATTAGGTGGCGCTACTCAGATTTAGCCAGAGCTGCTATTATTAAAAAAAAAAGGGGGGGGGTGTTGTTCTTTGAGATAGGAACTCACATAGTCCAAGGGCTCCCTATTCTCTTGCCTCTTTCTCCCAGATGTTAGGACTGCAGGGTGGGCCACCTCACCCGGTTCACTCCTGGTCTCCGAGCTCCTGAGCAGGCAGAGACGGAGGCACAAACCGCTCAGAACATTTAGCACATTCACTTTTGAGCTAAAACCAAGTAGCAGAATCTCATTTCAAGGGAAGCTTACTTGTTTGGTTTTTAATGCTTTATATGTTTATTTAGCTAGAGTCTTGCTGTCACTCTGGCTGGCCTTGAACTCCAAGTGATCCTTCCCACCTGAGCTGTAGCCTTCTTCAGTTTTTTCTTTGTTGTTTCTGAGGCAGAGTCTGAATAAAATCAACTCTGTGTAGCCCAGGGGAGCCTTGAAATTGTCTTTCCTGTCTTGGCCTTCCAAGTACAGGGGTTACAGGTGCATACAACACCAAAACAGTTTTTGGTTTTCATTTTGAAGACAGGGCCTCATGAAACCCAAATTGACATTGAACTTTTTTTTTTTAAGATTTATTTTTATTACATATACAGTGTTCTGCCTACAGGCCAGAAGAGGGCACCAGATTGAATTGTAGATGGTTGTGAGCCACCATGTGGTTGCTGGGAATTGAACTCAGGACCCCTGGAAGAGCAGTCAGTGCTCCTAACTGCTGAGCCATCTCTCCAGCCTGACCTTGAATTTCTTGATTCTCCTGCCTCCACATCCTAAGTGCTGGGATTCCAGGGAGGCACGTCACCCCACACCCATCTTATGCCACACTAGAGATCAAACGGTTTTCACACACGTGAGACACTCTACCCGGAGCCACATCTCCAGTGTGTCCTGAGACAGGGCTGAGACCTACGTGGCCCCAGCTAGCCTCATACTCCTTATTCTTTCCATATGCTAGTTTGAACTTGTGGAGACTCTCCTTCCCTTGTCTCCTGAGGATTGGAATTACACATTTGGGTCTAACTCAAAAAAGAAAAAGTCCTTACAGCAATTTTTTACATATGTTTATTTTAGCTGAGCAGTAGTTGCACATGCATTTAATCCCAGCACTCAGGAGGAAGAGGCAGGCGGATCTCTGTGAGTTCAAAGCCAGCCTGGTCTACAAAGGGAAGTTCCAGGGCAGCCAGGGCTGTTACACAGAGAAACCCTGTCTCCAAAAACAAAAACAAGAGGAGAATACATGTATTTATTTTGTGTGTATCTGGGCATGTGAGTTAACGGGTCAGAGAACTTAAAGGAGTCTCTCTACCACATGAGTCTGGGGGTCAAACTCAGGCTGGCAAGAGCACCTCTACCTGCTGAGCCACCTTTCCAGCACCCAAACAAAACCCTAAAATAAATAAAAGCAAATCATTTTTAGATAGGCTAGGATCCGCTGCAAGTCCATGACACAGGCGGTCAGAAGAGGGCAGCCTAGAGAACAGGACACGTGGGCTGGGAAATGACCTAGTCACCATGGTCTGTGTCTGCAGGGACTGACGTCAGTCAGCCTCCCTGAAGATCCTCTCCTTAGGCTGCTTTATCCTACTGATGTGAGGGTCAGGCCGCTCTCTGCACTGCTGTCCGCTCCTGGTTAGCAGGAGGCAGTGGGGAGAACATTAAACTGGACAGTTGTGAAGCATGGTGCATGGTGGGGGGGGCATGCCCAGGATCCCAAGGGCTTAAGCAATTATCACTACATTGTATATATTTATTGTGTGAGTGCACAAGCCACAGCACATGTGGAGGCCAGAGGACGCCTTGCCGGAGTCATTTTTCCCTTCCACCATGGGGGCTCCAGGGATCAGACTCAGGCCATCAGGCTTGCTATAAAGTGTTTACCTGCTGAGTCACCTTGCTGGCTCTTATCAGGTCTTATTGACCATGATTTTGGTTCACGTACGGAGAGGAGGGCACTGTGTATGTCTGTATGTCTGTCTGTCTGTATGCATATGTCTGTCTATGTCCATATGTGTGTGTGCATGTGTGTGTGCATGTGTCTGTGTGTGTATGTGTCTGTGTGTGCATGTGTGTGCATGTATGTGTGCATGTGTGTGTGTTATTTCCTGAGTTACATCTCTTTAGCCTCCCTTTACTTTCTCTTACCTCGCAAAGCCGACGCCTCTGCTGGTCCCGCTAGAGTCTCGAAGGATCCGGGTGGAGATAACCTGACCAAACGGCTTCAGCATCCCCTCCAGCTCTTGCTCGCCCATCGACAGCGGGAGGTTTGAGATGTATAAATTTGTAGGGTCTTGCTCCTGTTGCTGTGAACATGAAAAGTGAAAATTGAGGCTCGTATCTTTATTCCCATCCCCTACTCAGCCCTCATGTGCAAAATAACACTTGAGCTGGCGGTGGTACAGGGCACACAGGAGGCAGAGGCAGGAGGATCTCTGTGAGTTCGAGGCCAGCCTGGTCTACAGGGTGAGTTCCAGGACAGCCAGGGCTACACAGAGAAGCCCTGTCTTAAACAAAAGTAAATAGCATTTGAGAAAAGGAACATAAAGGGAGTTCCAAATAAAGAGAATCTTGGTTGTTTGTAATATCCAGTCTCTTTATCATGTACCATTTATCTAGCCCAGGAAGAAAAAATTACAGTATTTACTATGCCTACTACTCAAAGCTCCCCTTGTCCGGCAGCCTGGCCCAGAGGTTAATTCCCTCAGACTGCCTTGTCAGTTCCATAGTTCTGAACAACTCCTCTCCCCTTGTTCCACCACAGTAAACCTGTCTAAGTGGGAATCCCTGGTCACTCGTGGGCGGAAGGGAACAGGAAGAGGGAGGAGGAAACAGTAAGGGCCAGGTGTACCTGTTCAGTGGTTTACCTGAGTCCTAAAAGGTCTAGTCCCTGGGAGCCCAAGGTTCAAGTGAGAGGCTGCAGGGGGCAGGGGTGAGGTCAGGAATGGGGGCAGGGGGTGAGGTCAGGGATGGAGAGCAGGAGTGAGGTCAGGGATGGAGGAAAGGGGTGAGGTCAGGAACTGTCTCCTTCTCCCAAGCTCTGTGATCACAGGTGTGGTCCACACAACGCCTGGCCCCAGAGCTGTGTTTAAGACTGTGAGTCTTTACTGTGTCTCAGTCAGTCCTTCCCAGCGAGCCGGACCGCCTTCCTCCTCCCCTCCCTCTGTCGCTCCGTCGCTCCGTCCCTCCGTCCCTCCCCCCTCCCTCCCTCCCTCCATCCATCCTTCCTTCCATCCTTCCTTCTCTTAGGAGACTAGTTCTCACTCTACCCAAGGCTGTGCTGGAATTCTCAACAATCCTTCTTGGCCTCCCATGTGCTGGGATTACAGGCCTGAGCCATCCCTAGCTTCATTTTCCCTTTAGCCATTAGAGAAAAGGATGGAGAGATTTCCCAGTGGTTAGAGCACTGGCTGCTCTTCCAGAGGACCTGGGTTCGATTCCCTGCACCCACACTGTAACTCTAGTTCCGGGAATGGCTGCCCTTATTAACTTCTTCATAGTATTTGAGATGCCTCAGCAAGGCACAGGGACTGTTCTCCCCTGTGAAGGGAAGCCAGGAAGGTGACTAGCTTTCTAGGGATTGACATGAAAAAAGAAACAAAATGAGCAGATCAAATTCTCAGCTCCAGGGAGCTCTAAGAAAGAGGCACAGTTCTCCCTGCTTGCTCCCAGCCCACTCCCTGGCCTGCAGGAGGGAGCAGTGGCAGGCCATGCACAGCGCACTTCAGAACCTGAGTTGCACAACATTCTTCAGAGACTGTTGCAAAAACTATAACCATCTGCCCTAGACAAGTGCGGCCGAGGATGGAGACTGGGAAGCAGGAGGAATGCCAAGAGGCCTGGCCCTCCTGTCTGCCACAAAAAGAACACTCTTCTCCAGCAGTTCCCTAGACCCTGGCTCGGTCTGGCTGTGTCCAGATGCTACCAGAAAGATGGCTCTGTGGTGAAGCCCACAGTCTGGTCTTGGAGAGGAACGCCACCCACATCAGGTAATCCGAGTTATGCACGCATGTGTGTATGCACACACACACTCATGCACGCACACACATGCACACACACGCACATGCACACTCATGCACCCAAGCAAGTACACACAGGCATGCACACACTAGATAATTCTTGCTCATCGATTTCATCTTTCTAAGTACCAGGAGGCCCCAAACTGGTGCTTCGGCACCGTCTGTAACCCTGGGAAAGCAGCCGAGGGTGGCCTTACCTTTGCCATTTGGGCCTGCACACCACTGGCTTTCAGTGCAGTGACAGCCTTCTGTGCCGCTGAAGGACTGTCGAAGTCCACAAAGCCATAGCCTGGAACAGGGAAACAGCATCACGGGGAGGTGGTAGGTGTAAGAGAGGTAGGAGGCCCAGGCTTTTCAGGAGACAGAGGAAGAGTTATGGTCCGTGTAAATGACGTAGTGGGAAGAAAGAGAAATTAAGAGTTTTCAGGAGATGGTCTGTGCGACCCCTCACGAAGAGGTCAGGCCCACTCTGGTTAAGAACACCAAAAGAGCCGGGCGTTGGTGGCGCACACCTTTAATCCCAGCACTCGGGAGGCAGAGGCAGGTGGATCTCTGTGAGTTTGAGACCCGCCTGGACTACCAAGCGAGTTCCAGGACAGCCTCCAAAGCCACAGAGAAACCCTGTCTCAAAAAACCAAAAAAAAAAAAAAAAAAAAAAAAGAACACCAAGAGAAATGAAGGCCTCGTGGTATTCCTCCTTTCGTCTTCTCATTAAAAACCTGGGGCTCCCGGACCTAAGAAATTAAACCCTAGGCTTCATGCACTGCTAAAGGACCCCATCTCTTCTCCAGACAGCCCCCGGAATGCTGGGCAGGGAGGCATACACCGGAACAATCGAGCATCGGATGGAAACAGCTCTTCCTTGCTCAAGCCCCTCCCTCCACAGCCATTCAGCACTGGAAAAGAACATCCACTGGGCTGTCCTGTTTGCAAGTAGAAACAGTCGCTACTCCTTCACCCATTCATGCAGGGAGCCCTGTGGCCCAAGGTGAGCTCAAGCCACCCAAGAGCGCTAGCTCCACGCAGTTATCAGTCCCTAACAGATCTTCAGCTCTGGCTCTCTGGTCACCAAGGAGTCTAAATACTAATTGGTCCCAGTCCTCCCAGCTCCTCCCTGGGCCCGGGTGCTCAGATTGCCGGCCGCAGGAGGCAGAAGCAGGGGACGGCCTCTCGCCAGGGGACAGGCGATGCTCTGACCTTTGCACTTGTTTGTGGTCTTGTCCAGGATGGCCTTGGTGGAGACAATCTTGCCGTACCTAAGGGGAAAGGAAGTGCAAAATGACAATCCAGGACAGGGTTTAAGAACAGGACAAAGAGCCTGGCATGGTGGCGCACGCCTTCAATCCCAGCACTAGGAGGCAGAGGCAGGCAGATCTCTGTGAGTTCGAGGCCAGCCTGGTCTACATGAGTTCCAGGACAGTCAGGGCTACACAGAGAAACCCTGTCTCTTTGGAAACAAACAAAACAACAGCAACAACAAGAACAGGACAAAGAAATGAATTTAAAATGCTGTTTGTGGGGCTGGAGAGATGGCTCAGAGGTTAAGAGCACTGACTGCTCTTCCAGAGGTCTTGAGTTCAATTCCCAGCAACCACATGGTGGCTCACAGCCATCTACAATTCAATCTGGTGTATATGTAATAAATAAAGAAATATTTAAAAAAAAGAAAAAGAAAATGTCGTTTGTGCAGTAAGTGATAGCACAGGCTTTTAATCCCAACACTCAAGGAATAGGAGCAGGTGGATCTCTGTGAGTTAGAGGCCAGCTTGGTCTACAGAACTGAGTCCAGGGCAAACCAGACCTATGTAGCTTTGTCTCAAAAAAAAAATCCAATTGTATTAGTTTTCATCACTCTGACAAAATGCCTGACAAAAACCCTTTTTAAGGGAGAAAAGATATTTTTGGCTCAGGGTTTCGGTCCATCATGACAGAGAAGACGAAGTAGCTCATAGCACAGGGAAGGGAGGGAGGGAAAATGTGAGTTTCTTCTCTGCATTACCACCGCCTGGCTCGCATCTTGATTCTACTTTTCCTTTACACACAACATTCATCCTAGCAAAATAATAAAATAAGCCAGGTAGAGGTGGCGCACACCTTTAATCCCAGCACTTGGGAAGCAGAGGCAGGCTGATCTCAGTGAGTTTGAAGCCAGCCTGGTCTACAGAGCGAGTTCCAGGACAGCCAAGACTGTTACACAGAGAAACTCTGTCTTGGACCCCCCCCAACCCATGAAAAACAATAAAATAGTTGCTGAAAAGACTGTTCAGTGCATAAGAGCACTGGCTGTTCTTCTAGAGGACCTGGGTTTGATTCCCAGCACCCAAATAGCAGCTCATGGCCGTCTGTGACTGCAGCTCCAGGAATCCAACACTCTCTTCTGGCCTCTGTGGGCGCCAGGCATGTACATATATGCAAGCAAAAGATCCATACACATAAAAAATAAAACTGAAACAAGCATTTTAAAAACAATAAGCATTTGTCAGCCGGGCGGTGGTGGCGCACGCCTTTAATCCAGCACTCACGAGGCAGAGGCAGGCGGATCTCTGTGAGTTCGAGGCTGGGCTGGTCCGACAGCCTCCAAAACAATACAGAGAAACCCTGTCTCATAAAACCAAAAATAACAATAACAATAATAATAATAAGCATTTGTCCTCTGAGCCCCTCCTCCCAATACTCAACTGGCCCTTACGTGCACACCAGCTTCGTCCAAACTGCTCAAACCCTGGCTCTGCTACTTTTTAGCCATGTGTGATCTTGGACAAGTCCTATGACCTCCCGTGTCTCAGCCTCACCCCGCAATCTTTTCCAGCATAACCGAGTGCCAACACGTAACTCCTCGTGCTCTTTGACCTGTTTCCCGCCCTTCTGCCGCCTTCATGGCTGAGTTAAAACAGTCTGTGACGTTTCCACTCTACATCGATTGAGGTCCGAGGTTCTCAGCTTTTTGGAACTCCTTGCTGGCAGCAGGATCCTGCACAGCTCCCAGAGCCTGAGTCATGAAGTGGACGCAGCTCTTGGGTTACATCAGCGGCATCCACTGGGAAAAGCCACTGCATTCTATTCTGGTAGTGTGGAAATCTCAGCCAAAGAAGAGCAGCCACGAACAAAGTCGAAAGAATAAGGGCTGAACAGAAACAGTTGGCAGGAGCTAAATTTGAGATTAATACTCCAGACAAGCATTGAAAAACAAAACAAACTATCCTCTTCTTCCTGTGATGACTGACTGATTTGTTTACACCCCCGGCTCCCTCTCTACCCCCACACACCCCTATTTTTTTCAGGGGCGCCTCTGGAACCTGAAGAATTAAGCCAGGGAATGCCCGGAGGTTGGGAAAGGAACTTGTTAAAAGGAGTGGGGACCAGAGGTCCTAGGGCCCTTTGAAGCTCCGTGCTTGGACTCTAGCCCAAGTTTAAGACAAGAAGAGGGCGTAGAAGTGACTGTCAGGCTGCTATCCCCATCAAGGCCCCAGGGCGGAGGCTGCTGGGGCCTAGCAGCCTAAGACTTCGAGCTCAGAATTTCCACTGCAGCTGGCAACAGCTGGGCCCCTGCTTCCTCCTCCTCCTCAGAAGGAGCCCCTTCTGAGAGAACCAGGAGTTCCAGTTCCAGGCCACACCTCTCCTTCCGGCCCACCAGAGTTTGGGATCCAGCAACCCAGGAAGAGATCACTGGGACAAAGACAGGAAGTCCTTCTGAGCATGAGAAACACCCTCCTCCGAGAGGCTCAGCTCCCTGCTCTCTGCCATCAGGCTCCACCCAACCCATCCCTTCTCGGCTGCACTTCACTCCTCCATTTCTGTTTGACTGACTTTTGTTTTGTTTTTTAAGACAGGGTTTCTCTGTGTAGCAGTCCTGGCTGTCCTGGAACTCATTTTGTAGACCAGGCTAGCTTTGAACTCAGAGATCCACCTGCCTCTGTCTCCCGATCGCTGGCTGGGATTATAGGCATGTGCCGCCACCACCTGGCTGTTTGACTGGTTTTTTAAAAGATCTCATTATTTTCAACTATGCATATGTCTGTGTGGTTGTGTGCCCGTGACTACCCGAGGTGCTTGGCTGCAGTTAGAGGCAACTGAGCTGCCCAGTGTGGAAACAAACTCTTCCTCAAAAGCGTTTACGTTCTTAACCACTGAACCATCTTTCCAGCTCCCTGATTTTGCTTTTTTGAGACGGTCTCGTTCTATTGTCCTGACAGGCCTGACACAGATTCTTCTATTCACGTCCCCGGACATTGTGAGCATGGCATGAGCCACCGTGCCTGGCTTTCAACCCTGCCTCCTCTCACTCCTGTCCTAGACTCTAACTTCTGCTCTACATGCTGACCCTGACTCCTCTCACTCCTGTCCTAGACTCTAACTTCTGCTCTACATGCTGACCCTGACTACTTCCCAGGAGGGCAAATGAAAGCCTAAAGGGACAGGGAAGCCAAACTGAGTTTCTTCGATTAGAGTGTAGCACCTGGGTAGCGTGCTTGCGGCACACGAGGCTTCAAGTTTGCTGTGCAGTGGATACCTGACTCCATCTCCCGAGTGCTGAGATCACAGGCATGGACCACTATGCCTAGTATGAAAACCTACAGTACCTAGGTGGGTACCCTGTGGCCAGCAATACATCCAGCATGAATATGTACACACACACACACACACACACACACACACACACACCAAGGTGTACATTTTCAGCACACTGTCTGCATTCATAACAGCCATAAGCTGGCAACAGTGCAGAGATTTGCAATGATAGAATGGGCAATTCTCTTTTTAGAATGGGCAATTCTATACAGCAACAAGAACAGCTAGTATGGGGGACTGGAGAGATAGCCCAGTAGTTAGGAAGAGCACTGGCTGCTCTCCCAGAGGACCATGGTTCAATTCCTAACATCCACATCAAGTGGCTCACACCCCCTTGTAACTCCAGTTCCAGGACATCTGATGTCCTCTGGCTTCAGGGGCACTGCACATATGTGGTGCATATAAACTCACGAAAACGTATACATATACATATGGCCAGGTATGGTGGACATAGGAGGAGAAGGAGTTCAAGGCCAGGCTAGACTTTATGGTACCCTGTAGTGAGATATCCACCCCGCCTGCACCTGTTGCACTGACCACACCCATCAAGGCATGGTCACAGGTTTGGATTGGGGGGGGCAGCCCTGGCCAGAACTTCAGATAAGAATTTCAGTCAAGCTGGGCGTTGGTGGCGCACGCCTTTAATCCCAGCACTCGGAAGGCAGAGGCAGGTGGATCTCTGTGAGTTTGAGGCCAGCCTGGTCTACAGAGAGAGTTCCAGGACAGCCTCCAAACAATACAGAGAAACCCTGTCTTGAAAAACAAAAAACAAAAACAAACAAACAAACAAAAATACTTCAGTCAAGCATCTCCTGCCACAAATGTTACTGCTAGTCCTCTTGAGACTTTTGTTACTCTAATTTTTTTTTCTTTTTTTTCTTTTTTCTTTTTTGGTTTTTCGAGACAGGGTTTCTCTGTGGCTTTGGAGGCTGTCCTGGAACTCACTTTGTAGACCAGGCTGGCCTCGAACTCACAGAGATCTGCCTGCCTCTGCCTCCCGAGTGCTGGGATTAAAGGCTTGCGCCACCAACGCCCGGCTTTAATTTTTTTTTTCTTACAGGACCCCATGGAGTCATCGTCTTTCAGCAGGAAGTAATCCTAAGAAAACAACGCCCGTTTTCCTGCTGCTGACATTAAGGGATAATATTCACCTGCATGGTTTTAGTTGTCTAGGGTTGGGTATGGAAGGCGATGTTCAGACTCGGGTTTCTCTCTTAGATAAGTTTAGGGTATAGATGGGAAAGGTGTGGTTAGGGTGGGATATAGGTAGATCACATATTTTCTAGTGAACTAACTTCGCAACCACTAGCTATAGATAACTTAAATTGCTAGATCCAGATTCTTGTATGTTGACTGTTGAGGGCCTTCTTTCTGTTTATGATGTTTTGCACACAACTATAAAACTATCTTGATGTACATACATTTTGTATATTGTTACAACTTAGGATATTTATCATATTGCACTTTACAGTTCTACCTCTAGTCAAGACATTTCAATTCTATCTCTATTAGTGAGAAATATATATATGTGTGTGTGTGTGTGTATGTGTTTGTGTGTATATATATACGTATATATATATATATATAGTTACATTTTTTGATTTTTTTTTTTTTGTTTTACAAGACAGGGTTTCTCTGTTTTGGAGGCTGTCGGTCCAGCCTGGCCTCGAACTCACAGAGATCCGCCTGCCTCTGCCTCCCGAGTGCTGGGATTAAAGGCGTGCGCCACCAACGCCCGGCATAGTTACATTTTTTGAAGTCTTTGTCCTTGCCAAATTATTTTGGGAGGCTTCAGCCATTGTACAACTAGGTTCCCGAGAATTACAGATATTTTCACCCACATTTCTTATGCCTATGAGATTAGTCAGACATAAATTTTGATCTTCAAACACTTCATAGACCTGCAGAATATGCCAATTAAATGTTTTAATATTAGTAATCCTTTGACATGAAACACAATTTCTCCTGACAGCACCAAGCTAGTCTCAAGAAAATGTTGGACACTGATGTCACTCCTTCTAGAGTCCATCCTCTCCTTGGCTTATGGCCAAGAATTACCCCCACCTCGACCAATGACTTTGGACATGCTGTCCTACTGTGCTTGCAGGAAATAATTTAGAAGACTGCTGAACCTTGCCAAGTCAGGGTAAGACAGCCTTTCTACCTCCCTGCTCTGTGTTGGTCAGTCAGACACTCTAGGCCTTAGACAAAGCTGGCTGCCCCTACGCTGCTGTGAGACTCTGGGTGACTGCCCAGGTAGCTGCTGCTTCTGTCTTTGCTGCACCTTTGGAAGTTGCTCACCTACACTTCCTGCCTACCCTAGTATTGTTATCCTCCTTCTCAGGTCTCTGATGAGGTTGAAGATTAGACTGTCACTTCCTGGATAGAAATGTTAGGTACAACACTTAAACTTTCCAGCTTAGAACAGCTCTATGGCAATCTCTGCTGTGTCTCTACCCTAGGACTGGATGTGGAGTTCTTGACTTTTGCTGCTTCACTGGCGATAGATCCAAAGTGTGTTTGTTCTTACTTTTCCTTCTCCCCATGCATGCCTGATATTTGCTGTCTTTGTATATAGTTTTGTATCAAGCCTAAATCTTTTCTTTAGACAAAAAGGGGAACTGTAGGGAGATATCCACCCCGTCCACACCTATTGCACTGACCACGCCCATTTAGGCGTGGTCACAGGTGCAGATGCGAGGAGGGGCTATGTCTGGGGTCCTGGACCCCAGCTCGCTCTCTCTGGGTTCCGGTCAGGTCACAGAGAGCAGCCTGGGTGTGGATTCTCGGATCTGGAGTTTCTTATATAAGTGACTTCTCCCCGAGTAAATTTAACCTATATGTAACCAAGTCCCACATATCTTAATCTGCCCATCTATAGTACCCTGGCTTAAAAAAATACACACAATTATTAAGTGTGTATTAAGTGAATTATTTCAAAGTGTGCGATGGTGTTAACCGTCAACTTGACAGGGTCTGGACTCACCGGGGACACAGGCACCTGGCACCCCTATTGAGGGCCTCGCCCACTATGAGTGTTGTCCCCACGCTGGGATCCAGGACTACATATGAGGAGAAAGGGAACTGTGTGACAGCAAGCGACTGTTTTCCTAGCTTGCTGGTTGTGGGTGTGATGTGACCAGCTGCCTCCAGCTCCTCTGCCTGGACTTCTCCAGCACGCACCGGTTGCACCTCAAGCTCCAAGACAAAATAACCTTGTCTCTCTTAGGTTGATTTTGTTTGAGGCCACCAGAAAGAGTTCTGAGACACGTTGTAACTGTGAGGAAGAAGTGTATTGCTACTGCAGTTCAAGCTAAGTATATGTGACAAGAAGCCAGCCACTGACCAAAAAATCTGTGCCATCCCTGGAAACCTTCCTACCGGGACCACAACTTACGGCTGACAGAGCTTGACAAGGTCCTGGTCGGTAGTGCCTGGCTGCAGTCCCCGAATATACAGGTTGGTTTTGCTCAGCTGGTCGTGCCCGTTGCTGCCACTGCTACTGTTAGGGGTACTGTTCCTTGGACTCGGTGGTGCCATCTGCTGAGACAGTGACACATAGGGCTGCAGGGAGACATGAGGATCAGAAGGTCAGGAAGACCTAACGGAGTTTGATACACATGGGAGAAAGAACAGACTCCTTAAAGCTGCCCTCTGACCGCCACATGAGCACATGGGCACAGTGGCATCACACATGCACACAAATACATACGCGCGCACACACACACACACAATGTATATAATATAAAAAATACAGCCAGGTGGTGTTGGTGGCACATGCCTTTAATCCCAGCACTCGGAAGGCAGAGGCAGTGGATCTCTGTGAGTTTGAGGCCAGCTTAGTCTACAGAGTGAGTTCCAGGATAGCCAGGGTTACACAGAGAAACCTTGTCTCAAAAACAAAAACAAACAAAGCTGCATGTGATGTAACACATTTGGAATTAGAGTCAGGAGGATCTCTGTGAGTTCGAGGCCAGCCTGGTCAGCCTGGTCAACAAAATGAACTCCAGGCCAGCGAAGGCTCCATAGTGAGAACCTCAAAAACAAACAATAAGAGGGGCTGGAGAGATGGCTCAGAGGTTAAGAGCACTGACTGCTCTTCCAGGGGTCCTGAGTTCAATTCCTGGCAACCACATGGTGGCTCACAACCATCTGCAATTCAATCTGATGTCCTCTTCTGGCATGTAGGCAGAACACTGTATATGTAATAAATAAATAAATCTTTAAAAAAAAAACATTCGATTTAAAAAAAAACAAACAAACAAACAATAAGAGTCCAAGAGAGAAGAAAATTGAGAAGCACCCTTAAGTAACACTCACCTGACTGCCCAAAGGGAGCTACTTAGAAGGGTGGTGTAAACCAGTTATGCTCACCTAATAGGTAAGAGGAAGAGAGGTTGTATGTGTCATTGAGTAGGTAACTATTTTTTACTGGAAAAGGGAAAAATAACAAAAAGCTTTGGTTTGGTCAATGCCCTACACTAAACTGTTACCATTCAAAAATTGTTTGTGTCGTGTTCTGTTTGAAGCAGGATCCCAAGCATCCCAGGGTATTCGTAAACCCCTGCCCCTCTGTCTTTATTTCCACAGTGCTGGAATCATGTGTGCCACCACACCTGGCTGCAGTTCAAAACTCTGGTAGCCTCCCATTTGCCACCAACTTCATTCTTGACCTGGGGCCCTTAACGCCATTATTAACCACCAGGGCAAGAGAAATCCTTCCCATGCATGAAGTCTCAGTTCCTGCGGCATAGTCAACAGAGGAATTGGTGAAGACGAGAACACTCATCTAACAGGACAACTTTATTATGTACAGAAAGCCTAAACAGTTTCACAGATGCACCCAGGGACCTGGCTCTATAATTGTGACTGCCACCTGCTTTTTAATTTGTGCAGTGCTGGGGATTGAACCCAGGCCTTGACTCTAAACCTCAGTCTTTTTTCCTTTTTATTTGAAGCATGGGCTAAATTGCCCAGACAGGCCTTTCACTTTCAAAATTCAACTTGATAACCCAGTGGGATTCATTGGGGTTACTTACAGACGTATGAGTGATGGGTAGCCCACCCCAGCATAGAACTGGATCCAGAGAACTGGACACCTGGAGTAAACACCACAACCTACAGGCAGTTTAACAGTTGGGGAGTATCTTTTCCCGGAGATGGGTTGGTTTGAGCCTATTCCAGCATCTCTGCTTGTGTGAGAGCATTTCTTCTGGGTCCTTACCACTGATCTAAGCCCATGTGAGCTGATTTGTATAACCAGGGTGACCTCGGACTCCTCCTGCGTCAGCCTCACCCGCTGAGTGCACAATAATGTCTGGACATAATGTATTTAAATTCACTCCCACCAGGAGTTTCCAAGTTAGAGCTCACAGCCTGGAAAGACAGCAGGATGAAATGGGTGTTCTACTGAGGATCCAAGCAGAACGGCAAAAGAGCGAGGAGGAATAAGCAGGTCCAGGGAGCCATTCTCTTGAGAGGACAAGCAGAAAGAACAGTGAGCTTCAGGACCACACAAATCACCCACCCTGTGCTGGCCAGCGCCGTGTCAGTCTGAGCGATAGAGGCATTCCGAAAAGTGAGAAAATGCCCCCACCACATTGGCCTGTGGACCAGCATATGGGGGTTTTTCTCGGCCATTGTAGGTGGTGCCTTCCCTTGGCAAGTGGTCCTGCATAGTATAAGAAAGTAGGTTGAGCCCGGCGGTGGTGGCGCACGCCTTTAATGCCAGCACTAGGGAGGCAGAGGTAGGCAGATCTCTGTGAGTTGGAGACCAGCCTGGTCTACAAGAGCTAGTTCCAGGACAGCCTCCAAAGCCACAGAGAAACCCTGTCTCAAAAAAACAAAAAATAAAAATAAAAAAACATATGAAAAGTTAGAATAACCCATTTGTCCCCTCCATGTCCTTTTTAATGTTGGAGACACTCCAGTAGCAGAGCACTTGCCTGTGTGTACTGTGCAAGCCTAGGTTCACACCTTAGAACCACTCCCCACCCCGCCGCCCAAATCTAGTAGATTTAGGGGTTGGTCTGATACTTGCAAATAAACCAAATCAAAGGAATTCTGTTATCATTAGATTACAAAACACTTAATTCTCTACCCCAAGTGGCTCTGTCACTTCAGGGGGTACCCTGCACTGTCGGTGTCCTTATAAGCAGGAGCATGTGCACAGAGCTGTCATCCAGCAGCTGGGCAAGCCAAAGAAGCCTGGACAAGGGTGAGAACCCAGAAGACAGGGACAGACAGACAGACAGCAAAATGACAAAACGCCCTTCCTTTCTTTCTTTCTTTCTTTCTTTCTTTCTTTCTTTCTTTCTTTCTTTCTTTCTTTCTTTTGGTTTTTCTAGACAGGGTTTCTCTGTATTGTTTTGGAGACTATCCTGGAACTCGCTCTGTAAGCCAGGCTGGCCTCAAACTCACAGAGATCCTCCTGTCTCTGCCTCCTGAGTGCTGGGATTAAAGGCATGGACCACCAATGCCCAGCGCAAAATGCTGCTTTGAAATTGTGAGACCTGGCAGCTGGCCAAAGGCTTCCCAGGGGCAGGTAAGTTCCTATAGGGACAGTTTACTGGTTTTTGTTTGTGAATGAAAAGGGAGGGAGGGAGGGAAGGAGCGAGGGAGGGAGGGAGGGAGGGAGGGAGGGAGGGAAGAGAAGCAAAGTGGAAAGGATGGGACTGCTTCTAGGTATGGTGGAGGAGAAGGATTATCGTAGATAAAAGGAAGACATAACCAGAGGCAGGGACATATGGAGAGTTCACAGTGGACAGGAGCAGGGCCATGTGGGGAGAAGGGGGGAGGGGAAGGGAGAGAGGCGAGCAGGGGAACCCGGTGCAGCAGCCAGGAGGTATAAAAAGAGGGGTAACCAAAATGGCTGGGTTATATATAGAAGAGCAGCCCAGGCCCCTGATCTGGGAAGTTCAGGGAGGAGCGAGTATGCCAGCTAGGAGGGCCCTGTAACAGGCAGGGACTGAGGGATGCTGGGAGAACCTGGCTGCCAGGTTTGATTTGACATATTAAGTAGGCATCTTAGCCACTGGTCCCAGGGTTTGAGAATTAACAGTTTGGTTTTATAGTATATTGGGAGATGAATCTGTCTGGCTCTAGATTTAGTATTAGAATATCTAGTGGTCCAGAAATGTAAGATGTCTTTTGTTTGTTTGTTTGGTTCGATTTGGTTGTTTTTGCAACAGGGTTTCTCTGTGTAACTAGCAGTCCTGGAACTTGCTCTGTAGACCAGGCTGGCCTCAAACTCACAGAGACCCAGTTGCCTCCTGAGTGCTAGAATTAAAGGTGTGCACCACTACCCCAAGCTTGTAGCGTGTTTTTTTTTTTGTTGTTTGTTTGTTTGCTTTTTGTTTGTTTTTGGTTTTTCGAGACAGGGTTTCTCTATGGCTTTGGAGGCTGTCCTGGAACTAGCTCTTGTAGACCATGCTGGTCTCAAACTCACAGAGATCCGCCTGCCTCTGCCTCCTGAGTGCTGGGATTAAAGGCGTGCGCCACCAACACCCCGCTAGTTGTTGCCTGTTTTTTGACACAGGTCTAAAGTAACCCAGGCTGGCTTTAAACTCCAGACCCCTCAGCTAGCCTTCTGAGTGTGAGGGTTACAAAGCCAAGCACCTGGTCTGGCCTGATGATCTATTGGAAGATTAGTTTTATTAATACTAAAAATTCCACTTTTATTTCTACTTGTCACTTTTTTCCCCCTGATTTCTCAACAGGGCTGAAGAAAGGAAAGTGCTTCAGTTCAAATCCTCAAACCTCAGCAAGTTCTAAAGGCTGGAGAACACTCTGGTAGGTTAAATGCTGAAGCGTAGCTTTGCCAATTTGCAAACCCTGTTTTTCTAAATAGTGACTTTAGCCAGGAATAATGGCTTATACATAAATCTCAACACTCAGAAGCTTTCTCCCCAAGTTACACTGGTCATGGCGTTTCCCTATAGCAATAGCACCAGAACTAAGACAGTGGCCAAGGGTGACCTTGAACTTCTGACCCCATGGCCCCACCCCCTGAATGCAGAGGATGCAGGTCCGCACTGCCATGATCATTTTTATGTGGGGCTGAGAATGGGGCTCAGGGCCTCATCCGCACTGGGCAAGCATTCGGTTACATCCTGGTCCATCACTTCACACTCCGTGTGAGGTCCTCATTTCTCGGGTGAGAGGATCAAATTCACTTCCTGTCCAACCACTCAGCTGTTCATTATTCATTCAGAAGTAGATAGTGCTGCCAGGCGTTGGTGCGCACGCCTTTAATCCCAGCACTCGGGAGGCAGAGGCAGGCGGATTTCTGTGAGTTCGAGGCCAGCCTGGTCTACTGAGCGAGTTCCAGGACAGCCTCTAAAACAGAGAAACCCTGCCTCGAAAAACCAAAAAAAAAAAGTAGATAGTGCTTCGATATCTTATACACTTTTTCAAAAGTATATATTTTTAGCTTTAGATGGCATTTAACTAGTAAAGTGTAATTAAAACACAGGCTCCCGCTCTTCCTCTGGAGCCCTCCCATTCCAAGGAGTTCTTATTTTTCTTGATAAATCTCTGAAAGTCAAGCAAGCAAACAAGAAGCA